GGAGATCAAGGAGAAGGAAGAGATGAGGAAGATCATTGGGCGATACGGTCTCACTGGGAAGCAGCAGGTCCGTGGAGAGGGCGCGGGGAAGGGCCCCAGAGAGACACTGTCCTGGGCCCCCGGGCTTGGACGCCACCCCCCAGCGTCCTCCTTTGAGTCCGGCCCCTGAGCGAGAGCCGGTCCCTTCCCTTGGCCCTGGGTTGCCATGAGCACGGCCGCGAGTCTCACCCTCTGACCTCGTGGCACACATAAGCTAATTGCTGCACTTCCACGGCACACCCAAAAGCAGATTTGTTTGCTGGTCTGATGCACACCCCAGAAAGCAGCTGTAATTTTGACTCACTCACACCAGACGGCTGTTGCTGTGCTGGCTGTTGTCATTTTCTAATTTGACCGCCCCAGGGAAAACGTGTGGGTGGCCCCGAGTCAGTATCGGGTATTCTCATGGCGCTGGGGTGCACACCGCGGAGGGGGAGCGGTTAGGTCCCCGTGTGGGGGAGGGGCCGGGACGTGCCCCGCCCCGGCCAGCAGGGTGGGCCGTGGTGCTTGAGGGCGGGGAAGCTAGCCCCGGAGAACTGTTCCTGGACTCGGATCCGGCCCCAGCGCCCTCCGCCCTCCGGTGCTCTCAGTCCGTGCGCGAGACCGAAGCGCAGAGAGAGGGAGCGGGGCGGCCCTGCTGATGGCAGGAGCCTCGGGCTTCCAGAGGCGTCCCTCCAGGCCTGGGGGACAGGTGCCTGGGCCACCCCCTCACTGCCTGAACCTGGGCCTTCCTGGCCCCAGTTTCCGTGAAGCGGCAACAACATTAACGGAGGGGGAGAGGCGAGCCGTGGTCTGGAGCGGGGGCACCACCCACTCATGCCAGCCCCGCGGCCCCACGCAGGTGAGCCCGATCCGGAACCTGTCTGACGGGCAGAAGTGCCGGGTGTGCCTGGCCTGGCTGGCCTGGCAGAACCCCCACATGCTCTTCCTGGACGAGCCCACCAATCACCTGGACATCGAGACCATCGACGCCCTGGCCGACGCCATCAACGAGTTCGAGGGTGGCATGATGCTGGTCAGCCACGACTTCAGGCTCATCCAGCAGGTGAGGCTCCTGGCACAGGAGGGAGACAGTCGGACGGAGGACCGTCGTGCGAGCGGGGGCGCCTAACACGTGTGTTGGGTTGGAAAGGGGCTCGGGGCATGGAGGCGGGGCTTGGCCCAGGTCTGAGGGCCCTTTGGGGAGCTTGGAAAGCCCTAGTGGGAACACGTGGTTCCTTCCGGAGCTGTTTGGAGACGGTAGCCTGCTTGGTGTGGTCGGCCAGCATCAGGGGAACTGAGATTCTCCAGCCCAGACGTAGTGGTGGTATACTGAGGAGGGCTTCTTTTTAAAGATTTTATTTGTTTTTAGAGAGAAGGGAGGGAGGGAGGGAGAGAAGCATCGATCAGGCGTGTGCCCTGACTAGGAATCACACTGGCGACCTTCAGTCCGAGGGCCCGCACTCAGCCCAGAGCCGTGCCAGCCAGAGCGCTCTGGAGGATCTGATTAAGCAGAGGGCTACCCCAGGTCCTTGGCGGAACAGCTGCTGGTCACGTCCCTGGAGCTTTGGGGGAAGAGGGGAGGAGCTGAGAGTGAAGCCTCCGGACAGATCTGGGCCCCGCGAGGGGACTGGGACTCGGGAGGACACGGGAGGTTCCGTGTGGGGAGGCGCCGAAACTGCCGGTCACAGGGCCCTTGCATCAGGACATCCCGAAGAATGCGGAGGTAGTGACACCACCTGGGAGTGGCCATGAGGCCGGGGAAGGGGCTTGTGGGCTGTGGCATTTTCTTCCCAGAATTCCCTGAGGACGGTCTTCTGGGCGGGCGGCGGTGGGAGGGTGCAGGCCTGGAGGGTTGAGCCTGGGACTTGCCTTCTAGGTAGCGCAAGAAATCTGGGTCTGTGAGAAGCAGACAATCACCAAGTGGCCTGGAGACATCCTGGCCTACAAGGAGCACCTCAAGTCCAAGCTGGTGGGCGAGGAGCCCCAGCTCCCCAGGAGGACCCACAACGTGTGAGCCCGGCCCGGCCGGCCGCGGGGCCGCACACCCGCACTGCTGCAATACGCTCCCCAGCCCCGCCCCGCCCCCACCTGCCTTAGCTGCACTCTGCCGTCCTGTCTACAGCTGGACAGTACCTGTCCGTTTCCTGTCCTTCCGATCACTCTTGTCCGCGTCTGGACTCGGCTGGCTGCCCCTGCCAGCCACTTGCTGGTTCCTGACCCCAGTGATGCAGCCAGAGGCACCTGAGGGGTGGCCCAAGGGCCCACCTCTGGTTGGCTTGTGAAGGAGCGTGGGACCCTGGTTTCTGGGCGTCGGTGACGTTGGAGGAGGAGGACCCCCGGCCACCGCCCCCACTCCTCGCTGCTTCTGGTCTGGAGCCTGGATCAGGGCCTCGGGCCGGCCGGTTTTTAAACAATTATTTAACTGTAACTTTTAGACCCGCGTGACATCTACAAAGCGCCCAATAAAGAAAGAAGAGGCCGTGGTCTCTGGCCGCCTTCTTGGGCCCCTGGGCCCTGGCTCCCTCCTCCTCCCTGCACTGCCAGCGGTCACTGCCCCTCAGCGAGGGCGGGGGGTGTCGGGGCCCGTGTGGTCTGCCGACTAGTCCGCCGGACCCGCGAGATCTCTGGGGCCCCGGGGCTGGCCTGGAACGGTGCCCTTCCTGAGGGTTACGGCTGACGGCCTTGAACGCAGTCGGGACCCCAGGAGCACACGTTAGAGCGTGGGTCAGTGGGCCTCCCCCCAGGGTGTCTGGCTCGGCGGTCTGGGGGTAAGGCCGAGAAGGAGCATTCTAGCACGCTCCCGGGTGAGGCTGATGCTGCTGGCGGGGGGGCTGGAGGACCGGTCTCCCGGGGCGCAGTTTTCAGAGGCTCTCCCGCCGCGGGTGACCTGCGCCACAGCACCCGGGATACCTCCCGGGCTCCAGACCTGACGATTCCGTGTGGGGCGACGGGAGAGGGCAGAAGTGGCTGGGGGGGCGCTTTTTCACCCGGGAGTCCGGCCCGCCGCCCCTGGCCGAGTGCAGGGAGTCCTGCTGGTCTGCCTGTCCCAGCCTCGCTCCCACCAGCGCCCCCTGGCTGCCAGCCCAGGGCCCCTCCAGGCCGCCTGAACTCCACCCGCTCCCACCCTCCTCGCCGACAGGAGTCCTCCCCTGCCTCGGGGACCTCGGCAGCCACGGGGTGTCAGGACTCACGATGGTCTGTGGGAGATTTAAAAAGCCCCGGGTGGTATCAGAACCCCCCGGGAGGGTGTGGTCTAATGGGAAAGCCCACCGCACCGGAGAGCAAACCAGAGAGCGAGGTGGCGTAAATCAGATGCTAACTGGTGACTCGGGCCTTAGGATGCAGAGAATTCCGAGGGAGGGGAGTTTCCCAGAAGGCAGGACTTGGTCCTCTCACAGGAAAGAGGAGAAGGCCCTTCTCAAATGGCCCTGAAGTCCAAGAGCTGCTTGCAGGGGGCGGGGCAGGGGGGGCTGTTGTGCAGAGGGACGGTGGGTGTCGGGTGAGAAGCTGGGTCCCAGAGGCCAGAGGAGGGGCTTGGACTCCCCGCTCCATCTGCTGCCGGCCGGGCTTTGCTGCTCGGTGCCCTGAGTGGGGTTCAGAGCACGGTGGCCTCTCTCTCCTGGCTCGGGGGGCCTGTGGCATCAAGAGTGACCTGGGGGGAGGGGGCTGGGCTACGTTACACACTCGTGAAGGTCGCTGGGCCTCTCTGAGTGGTGTACCTCAGGTGCAAAGGGATGGGGTGGGGGGAGGGTGCTTCGGACCCGGAGGAGAGTTGGCTCAACCGTCCAACAGAAAAGCCAGCCTCAGAAATCCTGAGCGCGCTCACGAAGCCCACAGAACAGACAGTTCTGCAAACGCCTAGGAGGAGCAGTGCCTTGTTCGGGACGAGGAGCGGGCCTCCAGGTCCTCTCGGGCCTCAGTTCGGGGCATGGCTGGGTGCCGGGAAGTGGGTGGCAGGGCCAGTCCAGGGCAGGGTGCTCGCTCCCGCCCCTGTGCACCCGACAGGTGATGCTTGTCTTCGCTGCCCTCCCCCCTCTTCCCGATTTGGATGACCCCCCCCCCCCCCGCCTCTGCCCTCCACGCGGCTGCAGGTTCCTTTAATCGCAGCCTCCAAGAGCCCGGAACACTGCTCACCCGCGGGTGCGAAGGGAGACAGCGCGCTCCGTGTAACAGCCGCCTGGCCCTGCCCTCCTACCGCGTGGGCAGCTCACTTCCACGGGCACCCCGCCTCGTCTGCTCTGCGGGAGCGGCCTGGGTTTCTCTCGCCGCGCCAGGGCTCCCGGCCCCGGCTTCCCGCCACATCCGGCACCCCGGCAGCCTCCTTGCGCCCCGCACACGCCAGTCCCACTCGGCCGCCCGCACCGTGCACCTTTCCCATTCTTCCCATCACAGCTGCCCACTTCGCCCCAGCTGAGCAGGGGCCACCCTACAAGATGCTCATCCTGATTTGTTCCGTGGCGCCTCCTCTGGCCACTGTAGGCCCCACTGAGCTCTGAACTGTCCCCGGCACACACTGTGGCCCTCTGGCTGTTCTCTGACTGTTCCCTGCGACCCAGTCCTGTCTCTTCCCCCTGTATTCCAGGGTCTGCGGGCAGCGTGGGTCTGCATCCCTTCCGACTCACCCCAGCACTGAGCCAGGCGAGCCCAGTGGGTGCTGGGTGACTGCATGGCCGTCTGGTGGTGTGTGAGCCCCAACAAGGTCATGATACGCCGGTGGGGGTGATTGGGGGCGACCGGCTGGCAGAGAGGGATGGGGGAGGGTTTCTTGTTCAGAGACAGGAAATCACTTGGGGGCAAGGAGAGAGCAATCACCTCCTTCAGGGTTAGCCCAGAGCGTGTTCTGGATAGGGTGGGGCCAAGCCCCTCCCCCCCAGCCCAGGTGCTGGTCCGCAGCCCCACCTGGCCTGCCGCTGCCCACTTCATAAAAGCGTCCCCCGGGAGCGGGAGGCAGCTGTGCGAGAAGGAGGAGGAGGAGGAGGATGAGCAGGGAGCACGGGCAGCCGCCGTCTGGGGCCCGAAAGGGCCGTCGCTCCAGAGACAAGAAGTCCCGGAAGCGGAGCCGGCGCAAGGAAACCTACTCGATATACATCTACAAGGTGCTGAAGCAGGTGAGAGGCGGGCGCCGGCGTGTGTGTGCGTGGACCGTGCCGGCAGAGAGCCTTGCGGGGCGGGGGGGCGGGGGGGCGGGGGGTGGGCGGGGGGGGAGGGTGGCAGCACACCGTCCCCCTCTCCAGGGGAGTCGGACTTGATCTCCAGGGGCCCTACCCCTCTCAGCACCTGCCCGGCACCTGTGCCGTCCTCCCCACCACGGCCCCGAAGCTCATGGGGCATTTGGACAGAGGAGCTGCTCAGGTGGAATGCTGGGTGGCACGTGATCAAAAGACGGGGAAGGCCGTGGGGCGGGGGTGGGGGGAAGAGCCGGGCTGAAGGGGATCGCTCGGGCGCCAAACCCGTGGTGGTGCAAACGGGAAGTTCCCGTGAGTGCCGGCTGGGCGAGGCGCATTTCATGGGAACCCAGCCTGGGGGAGGCCGTGCAGACGGGCGGCCCTGGGTCTCTGGGGGGCTGGGGGTCGGTCTGCCTTGCACAGGAGGACGCTGAGGCCCACAAAGGGTCACTGGGTTGACCGGTCACGGGACCTGACAGCACCTGAGGACGGCCCCCCGCCCCCAGCTCCGGCTAAGCCCTTGAACACTTCCTGCTGGTTGCCCCCTAAGCCCAAGGTGCCCTCTGTTCAGGCAGCCCACTTGTTCACCCCTGAGGAGCACCGACTCCTGGGACTCGCTCACTGACAAATTTGGGGGGCACCCGTGGGTTCCCAGTAACCAGTATGCCTGGAGGACCCCAGGCTGAGTCAGGGCTGGGGGAGGCAGGGTGGCTCTGTTCCCTGCCCAGGTCTCTCCAATCTGCCTGAGATTCTCGCTGCCCCCCCCCCCACATTAGATGAGACCCCAGGGGCACAGCCTGTCCCCAGTCTGAATGTTGTGAGCAGGTTCAGAGACGGGACAACCTGGGTCTCTGGGAATGGTGGGCGGAGAGGCCAGGAGGGCGGCACCAGAGGACGGACCCCAGTGTCCTGACGAACATGGCGGGGGTGGGGCGGGTGGTGGGTATTAGGGAGTCCTGCAGCTTAACCTAACTTTGGCTCAGAACCGGGGGGAAGGGTGGGGCCGGGGCCAGCCTTGCTGAGGAGAGCTGCTGAGCCGGTCACCCAGGCACCCTGCACACCCCTCTGGTGGGGGGCTGCTGCCGCACCCCGCCAGCAGCCCCGAGGAGAAAGGGATATAATGCCGACTCCTGGGCTCCGAGCTAACCCAGCCTCGTCGGGGCTCGGGCTGCCTGCGGTCAGTGGCGGCCAGAGGCGTCCAGTTCTGGCTGCACCATGGGTGTGATGGATGTCCTTGGGGAACCACCCATCTCCCACTTTACCAGAAACACACTTACTGTCCGCCCCCTCGCATGTGAGGATGGTCTCGGGTCCCTGCCCGTTGTTTTACGAGAGACCACCTAGTTCAAAAGCTCGTGTGACAGAAGAGGACACTGAGGCCAAGGAAAGGGCCTTTATTTGAGGCCACAGAGGGAGGAGTCATGGTCCAGCCTCAGAACTTGGGTCTCCTACCTCCCCTCGTCCGGTGCTGAGATCGGGTCGCAGGGGCGTGCTCTCTGGAGGGTAACTGGGGAACAGCCCACCAGGTTAGGTGCACACACCCTTCCCCTGCCAGTCCCACGCCTGGGAATAGCCTTCCTTTTGCTTGTACACGTGTGCAACGACGTATTTACTATAACCCAGGCCAATGGCAAGCAGAGAGCACCCCTAGATGCCCATTGGGAGAGGAATGAAGGTACAGGCTCCGATTCCTCCGCACTCTGTAACACTGTGTAAGTGCATGCGATGGGAAAAGCTAAACGCTGTGTAACCAGTTCCATTCCCCAAAGACAGATGCCGACATGTGCTTGTGTAGGAACTCCAGAGCGTTACAGCTTGCGGTTAAGAGCAATGTCTTCTTTTTTTTTTTTTTTAAAGATTCTGTTTATTTATTTTTAGAGAGGAAAGGGAGGAAGAGAGAGAGAGAGAGAGAGAGAGAGAGAGAGAGAGAAACATCAATGTGCAGTTGCTGGGGGCTGTGGCCTGCAACCCAGGCATGTGCCCTGACTGGGAATCGAACCTGCGACACTTTGGTTTGCAGCCCGTGCTCACTCCACTGAGCTACGCCAGCCAGGGCTGCAATGTCTTCTTTTTTAACTTGGAGACGGCGGTATGAAAATGAATCCTTATCTCCATGTCTCCTGGCCTCTGGGGAAGAGGCGGGGAGGTGGCCCTACAGCCCGGCGTCCGCAGCCTGCGGCTGGGGCGTCAGGCCGGGCCTCCTCGACCAAGCGGCCCCGCCCTCCTTCCTGCAGGTGCACCCCGACCTCGGCATCTCTTCCAAGGCCATGAGCATCATGAACTCGTTCGTGAACGACGTGTTCGAGCGGCTGGCCGGCGAGGCCGCCCGGCTGGCCCAGTACTCGGGCCGCACCACACTGACGTCCCGGGAGGTCCAGACGGCCGTGCGCCTGCTGCTGCCTGGCGAGCTGGCCAAGCACGCCGTGTCCGAGGGCACCAAGGCCGTCACCAAGTACACCAGCGCCAAGTGAGCCGGGGGCCCGAGCTAAATAAAGGCTGAACCCGCTCCCGTGTGCTGTGGTGGCTTCCAAAGGGGACGTGTGGACGTGTGGACGTGAGGTGTGATTTGGGACAAGGGTACTGCCGCTTTTCGTGGCCACTGAGGTGGAATGATACCACTCACACTTAAAAAAAAAAAAAAAGAAACTGCTTTTTGGGTGTGCCCCACGAGCGCACGTGATAAATATTATGCAGGGGCTGGTCCAACCCACGGCCCGGCCCGTGGGCTGCAGGCGGCTCAGGATGGCTGTGAATGCGGCCCAACCCAGAACCGTGCATTTACTTAAAACATGATGAGAGTTTTTTGTGATCCCATGTGGCCATGAATTGAAGGTGTGGCCCAAGACACCGCTCCTTCTTCCAGTGCAGCCCCGAGACGCCACAAGGTGGGCCACCGAGTCAGGGGTGAGCTGACATTGGACCCGGCCAGCGGCTCCCATCACGCCCTCTCTGGGCCTGAAACTCCTCCCGTGTCCCTCCTCCAGACCCCATTTTGTGAGGCCATTTCTGGCCAAGTATCGCTTTGGTCCCTGGCCGGGCCCAGGGGCCGGCCCCACAGATGTAACCCCCACTGCACGACACGGAGGGCCCGAGCCAGCTTCCGCATGGCCTGCTGGGGTCCGTGAGGTGGTTTTCATTCTCCCCTCACACCTTCCTCCCCTTCGTTTCGGACCAGATTGGTGGGAAGGTGTTTTGAGACTCCTGGCTTTTTCCCCCCAGTTGTGTTTCCAAAAACCTCAGATCCACAGAAAAACTGCAAGACCGTAGGACGGCCCCCTGTGTGTCCCTCCCCCAGGCTCACCGCTCTGCATCCGACCCCATGCTCCCTCTCTCTCTCTCAGCCCTCTGCTCCAGCCGGCGGGCATCTGACCCCTACGTGCTCTCCCCGGTGCTGGGGGATGGCACGGAGGGGCAGGCGTCAGTGGCCAAGTCCCAAATCCCCTGTGTTCCCCCTGTGCCTGGATAGACCCGGCCGGTCCCCTTCAAGTCCACGTGCGGAGGAGACCCTCTGTGGCGGCGGCTGCTGCCGAGACGCGCCCTTCCTGCTCCTGTCCCCACGTACAGAGCCTCACGTGGCGGCGGGAGATGAGAGCCAATTATCCACGCATGGGTCCCCCAGCTGGAAGGGGGGGGTGGGCCCAGATCTGGCCCCCCAGCCTAGGCTGTTCCCAACCTGCAGGGGGGTTCCCAGCCTGCTGCTCGAGGTGCCTGCTGTCCAGGCACCAGCAGCGTCTGTGTGGCTGGGAGCCCCTGAGGAGTGCCCAGCCTCGGGCCCGCCTCAGACCACGAACTCGGAGCCCACATTTTGGACGAGATCCTCGGGTAACTCACATGCACACTGACGCCCGAGGGCTCGTCTCTGGCCCCTCCTTGCTGCTGCCTCCCCCGTCCCCTCTCCTCTGCCCAGTGCCTCATGGCTGTGTGTATATATATAACCGTTAGGGCCCCGTAGAGCACTGAGCTGACCGGGGTCGGGAGATGACATTGTGTATTTTCCGAAGAATGGTTCCCGGGGCCTCCCGGCAGTCACGCAGCAGAGCGGACGGGGCTGGGTCGGCACTGAGGAACAGAGGGTTCCTCCGCCCGAGACGTGCGGCTGCGGCAATACCTTTCAAAGGAGAAACATCCGCCGGAGCCTTGCTGCTAAGGGGGACCCCCGATAGGGACCGTTCTTTTGTTGGGTCCTCACAAGGAAAGCTGGCCCCGCACCCTGCCCTGACTTTCCCAGGCTTGCTGAGGGAGCCGGCCCTCCCTTCAGGGCGCTGCTTCTAGAATGTCCCCTGAGATGGGTCCCCGGTCCCTCCCCTCACAGCTTTAGAACATTGGGACAATAGGACAGAACCCTAAAAACTGGGCTGTTTGCGGGGTGGAGTCGGCGTGGAAGGAACCACAAGGGTTCTGTGGATTCCGCCACCAGCTCACCCAGGACAGCGTGGGGAGTGGGCACCATGTCTGAGGGGTGAGTGGGGGCTGGAGTGGAGCCCCCCCAGGGCTGGGAGAGCAAACGGGGAACTGCCTCCTGCTCGAGATCCTCCCGGACGGGGGCCGAGGGGCAGGGGTCACACCAGGCCAGCCCGGCCTGCAGAATTTCTCACTGCCTCCCTGGCTGCCCCAGCCTGTGGTCAGCTCTCACTCCTCGGACTTCCCCTGGACTGTGAAATCCAGAGCTGGGGGTCTGCACTCACCCCACACCCCACCTGCGGCCCACCATCCTGCAGACCACTGCAGCATCCCCGGGCTGCACCCCCATGCTGCAGGGACCGGCCACCACCGACTCAGGGGGGCCTGCCTCTTCCGTACCGTACAGGGAGCCCCTAAGAGCTGAGGCCATTCTCCACTCTTCTGGAAACCCCAATCTCACACCCTAAGCCCAGCATCCCCGGGAAGGAGCCCTCCCGCTCCCCCTTAGTATCACACCTTCTGGAGCCTGAGTTCCCACTCCTCAAAGGGCCCAGCAGCACCACCCCCGCCCCCCCCCCGACATTCCCACACGGCCTCTGACACCCCAGAGCGTGCTGCCTCCTCTCCAGAGCTTACCAACACCTCTGGGACTCCTCCCACGTGACCCTGCAAGAGCTGCTGAACCAGGAGCAGCCCCTGCTGCAACCCGCGCCCAACCAGGAGCGGCCGGCTTTCCACTACCGGCTCTCCTTGCTCTACCTGTACTACCTGGCGCTGCTGCGCAAGTTCAACACCCTCTACGACCAGATGGTGCAGCCGCAGAAGCGGCGGCTGCTGCGGCGCCTGCTGGACGGCGTGGCGGGCCGCGTGCTGGAGCTCAAGGACGAGATGGTGCGCGTGGACCTGTGCGAGTACCACTACCTGGACCGCGTGCTGCAGGACCTCCAGCTCACCCCGGTGCGGGGTGAAGCGGCGTGGGGCCACGCCCACGCGGAGGGTGGGGGTGTGGCTGGTCTTGACCTCCCTGAGATCTCTGGGAGGGAGGGAGGGCAAGGGAGGGGTGGGTCTTGGTCTCCGGAGAGGGTCTTCAGGAACGGCGGTGACGGCGGGGTGAGGGTGCATGCAAGTAGCTGGGGGTGGGGGGCGGGAGTGTTGGCTAGAGAGTCAGGCTGGATGTCCCGGTGGCTGGGAAGACCCCTGAGCTGTGAGGGGTTGGCGAAGAGTCCTGTGCAGGCTTGCTCCTCCAAGCGCGGTCTGGGGACCAAAGCATCAGCACCACCTAGGAGCTTGCTAGAAATGCAGAATCTCTGGCCACACCCCAAAGCTACTCATCTGCATCTGCGCTTTAACAAGACGCTCAGGTGATCTGAATGCACCAGCAGGTGCCAGAGCATGGCACTCCTGCGCCGGCCTCCTGTGGGCCCCAAGGGCATGGCTCACCGTTCCACATCCCAGACAGCCTCAGAGTCGTCCCCCCCCCCCGCCCGGCCCCGGCCCCCTGCATCCAACCCAGCTTCGGGCTTGAACAAACAAACAAACAAACTGATTTTCCAGGCCTGCCTTTCTGATGTGGTGGTCTGGGGAGGGCCTGGGAGTCCTCATGTTAAGAGCTTTCCGGCTGATTCTGCTGCACAGCCAGCCTCGGGACCACTGCCCATTAGCTATCCTCCTCCTCTAGGATTCAACTCTGACCACACGGTCAAGGCCGGGGAAAGAGGGGTGACGAATATTCCCACTGCGGGGCTCCGGGCTGGAGGACAACGGTGCCGGGGTCTGTGAGCAGCTGGAGACAGTAATGGGTCAGCCAGGCGGGTCCCGTTTCCTGACCCTGCATCCCCCACGTTGCCCCAAAGGCAGAGCTGGAGGTTCCGATCCCCAAGTACTTCCGGCAGGAGCGGTCCGGCACTCTGCACGACCGAGGGCTGCTGCTGGAGGAGATCCTGGGCAGGATGGAGCCCGCGGCCTTACAGGAGGCAAGTCGTGGGGGCGTCCTCCCGGACCCCTCCCGTAGCCCTGCTCCCACAGCGGAGATGCCGACCTGCCCTGCACCCACCTGACAGAGCTCTTCTAGGTGACCCCTGGCCTCCTTCCAGGCTGCTCATGTGTCCTTGCAACCTTCCACTACCGAGACAGAGGGGCAGGACGGGGGCGCCTGGATGCCCTGCGAGGAGCGCCCCCGCCCCCAGCATGCCCTTTAGTGTCTGATTTCCCAGCTGCCCACCTGATGCAAGCCCCTCCTCCTCCTCCTCTGCTCTGGCCAGAGCGCTCCAGAAATGACCCGGACCGAAGCCGTGATCCTGCTGCAGACCGCGGAGCGGGCCAGGCAAGGCCGGATCCGAGCCAACTTTCTCCGGGAGATTCGCCGACAGGAGGAGCGGGATCGGAAGATGAAAGAGGGCGGGCGGCCCAAGTTAAGTCAGGACCAGGCAGCCGTCACCATTCAGAAGGTAACTCACTGGAGTCCAGGAAGAAGGGCAAGGTAGTCGCCTCCTCCTCCGGGAAGCCCGCCTGGCTTAGCAGCGGCCGACAGAGGTGCAGGCGCTTGGGTTCTGTGGCCGCAGAACTAGATCCTATGTGAGGGACTTTGACAAGTCAACAATCACATATCTTATTTATGATTTATTGTTTATTCTACTGTACCTCTTTGTCCCCAGAAGGAATGGAAGTGGGGTAGCACGAAAGGCCTACAGACAAAAGGATCACGACAGTTAGGGGAGAATGAGCAGAGTCAGGGGGGCAGAGCAGAGTAGATGACCATTTCAGAATCTCTTCAAAAACAAGTCTCTGACACACACACCCTGAGCCTCCTGGAAGCCGAGGCGAAGGGACACGTGACAGAGAGAACGGATGGGACCCAAGCGTCCTCAAGGTCCGTGCCCTCTGCTGTCACCCTCTACTTTGACATGGGACTAATGTGATCACACCCCGTCCTGCTCACTGCAGAGCACCCAGCCCCGTCCTGGGGTGTCCCTGTGCCGTCTCATTGTTCTGGTGGCCGTTCCACATCTCCCAGCCCCTGCTGTGCCCTCAGGGTGTGGGCCAGCCTCTCTGTCATCACGCACGAGGCCAGGCGGCAGCGGTACCAGCCCAACAGCACTGGAGGGGCCCTGGGGCCATCTCAGGGCAGCAAGGGGCCACAGACCAGAGCTCCAGTTCCCCCACCGCCCAGCAGCACTGGCCACTCTCATGTCTCAGAATTCCCATCGCCCTCGGCATGAACACCCCACTCCCGGGCGCAGAGTTCAGAACCCTGCTCCGTCACGGGCCCCACTTGCCCCCTTCTCCTCCCAGAAGCAGGCCCAGAGTGACTGGCATGGGGCGGGGTTTGTCTGTCCCCCTCCCTCAGGTCCCAGTGCCTTAAAACCTCTGTCTGCCGGCCCCAGACAGGAAGCTCAGAACCACTTTCTACCAAAACCCCAAAGCAAGCCAAACAACCAACAGACGTCACCCCTGAGAACAGATACCCTTTCCAGATGGGACAGATTTTGATTAGTGATCAGTAGGCGGAATGTCCCGATTGGAGCCCCTGCATTTGGGGGTCTGGCCCGGTGTCCAGCTGCCCCACCAGGAGGAGGAGGGGGCCCTCGCCTGCAGGGCTCGATAGAGTGAGGCTTCGGAGAGTAGGGTCAGCCGGCCCCAAAGACAGAGTCCCACTTCCCTCTGGGAGCCAAAGCCAGTCACTTTGTCCCTGTTGCCAGACATCCAGGCTACGGAGACCCTGCCTCCCAGCCTCCGAGTTTCCCAGCACGTACGCTGATCCAAGGCTGTTACTGGGGGCCTGGCCTCTGCTGGTCCCAGGAGCCCGGGCAGGAGCCTGCCCTGCTCCCTCAGCCCAGCGCCCCTCCCTCCCCCCGCTGGCACCGGGCAGTCCACGGGGTCTGAGGGCGGCTGGCGGTCTGGGAGAGGAGCCCTGGGGAGACCCAGCCCCAGCCTCGGCTCTGCAGAGACAGGCTCTGCGCCTGGGAGAGACCGTGTCCCGTCTCCAGCCTCAGCTTCCATGTGTCAAACACGCAGGAATGAATGAAGGGAGCTCCGTGGTCCCTACAGCACTGACGTGTATGCATGTGCCTGGGGGGAATCAAGTATTTGTTTCGGACGCTATGGGTGTTCTGAGGCAGGGCAGTGGCGAGGGCTTTTTGGAGGAGGTGGTACTTGGGACCTCAAAAGATACAGCAGATTCAAGGGTAGAGAGGAGGAGGGAATTCCTGGGGGGCCTGGGGGCCTGAGGGAGCAAAGCCTTGGGGCCAGATGGCTTCGGGCATCCCTGCCTCAGCGTGATCTGGGCTGTCCGGGTGCCTGTCCCCCACGTCCCGCCCAAACCTCCCCCCGGCAGACCTTCTGGAGAGAGAGCTGCTGCTGCTCCACCCTGGGGCTGAGCCCAAGCGCCGTGTCCCCGCAGACACGGAGTGTGGGGAGTGTCTGGGCCCATGTGTCCCCCAGGTGTGGAAAGGCTACCTGCAGAGGAAACACACTCAGCAGGATCGGCAAAGGGAGATGGAATTCATTGGCATGGTGAGTCGGTCGCTCCCTGGCTGCGGCGGGCGGGGGTGGGGCTGGTGGGGGGGCACGGGGCTGGCCCGTGCAGGCGGCGCCTCTGTTAGTCCCCATCTCCCTGAGCCCCGGTCACAGAGCACGGCCCTGTGCAGCCCTCGCTGCCTGCAGTGCCCACCACTCAGGGCGGTACTGGGCGTGATGGAGGGGCCAGGCCAGTGCCAGGGGACCCAAAGGATCCTTCAGGGTTTGGCTGAGAAAAAGGGAAGGACGGAGAAGCCACAGCCCTTCCCACCCTCCCTCCCCTGGAGCCCTCAGAAGGACCTCAGATGCGGGCATGGGAGGGGGACAGTGGTGGTCCAGTACTCTGGACCCCAGGTCCGCGTGCCTGGCTGGAGGAGGGGCTGCCCGGCGGGGCCCAGCTGGGGTGGGGCTCACCCCCCACCCTGGAGCATTTTTAGGGCCATGGGCTCCCCACTTGCTCTGGGGGCCCCAGACTCGCTTCTCCTCTGCACACAGGGAGAAGGGCCGAGTGTGAACGATGGGAGGTGAGCGTGCGTGTGCACGTGGGTGTGTGTGGGAGGCGAGAGGGGCAGGCCCTGGGCGGCCAGCGCAGGCGGCGAGCAGGCCCTCCTCCCTGGATGTGTCCGGCCTCTGTTCTCCCACGCTTCCTTCATCCCGCCGGTCTCCACGGACGGACCCCTGGGCTGGGGCTTTACGGCTGGCAGGGCCGGGGTGTCGGGGGGAGCCAGAGGGATCGGAGACAGGGCCGGGGCGGCTGCCCGAGGAGGCTCGTGGTTTCCAAGGAGAGCGGGGCCAGGGTTCTCCGCATGGGAATGGAGGTCAGGGGCTTGTTGGGGGGGCTGATGAGCTGAGCCCCCAGGAGGCCCGGGGTCAGGCTTTGGTGGGGCGGGGGCCGGGGGTGGGGGGGGGGTGGGCAGGGCACGGCGGTGGGTGAGGAATGAGCGGGCCGCCCGGGCCCATCAGCAGTGTGAGCTCAGCGTTTTCAGTAATTGTCTCTGCGCACAGTGATATTTAAAATACATTTGGGAGCCAATGAGGCGGGAAAGTGGCTGCGAGCGAGGCTGCCAAGGCGGGCGCCGGGCGGGGGTGCGGGTGGGGGCTGGGGCCGGAGGCTCGCCGGGGAGGGGGAGCTGGGGGAGCGGGCAGGGGGGCCCGCCCGGATGCATCTCGCAAACTCATTATCGGAGTAATTTACACAGACGAGTTTCGGCTCCAAACACAATTTCTCCTGATGCAGGCATGCCCGGTGTTCCGTGTGGGTGTGCATGCGAGGCACGTGGGCAGGGGGTGCGCGGGGGTAGGTGTGCGGGCCCGAGGCCGCGTCCTCCCCGCTCCCGCTCCTGAGCCCCGCGGCCCCTTCCCCGTGTCCCCAGCTGCCGTCGCCCAGCCACGGGGAGGACTCCGGCATCCTGTTCCAGGCCAGCATCAGGGAGGACGCCAGGAGGCTCCTCCAGAAGGAGAAGGAGGAGGAGTTCCAGCTGGCCACGGTGAAGACCCGCAACTATCTCAAGGAGACCGAGGGGCCCTACATCAAGGAGGAGATTCAGGAGCAGATCCGGCAGTGGTTCATCGAGTGCCAGTCAGTGCCCGCCCAGCCTCGGTGGACGCGGCCCTCGGCCCCTGTCCCTCTTCACCCCTGTCCTCCCCACTGTCTTGTCCTCTGGTCCAGCCTGGGCCCTTTTCTCCACTCAACCCCACGCTCCCGACACCCTGCTGACACGCAGGCTTAAACCTGGGGGCCCCCGCCACCTACAGGACCATCTCCGCACACGACTGTCTGTCTCCCCAGATGGAAAACGCCGGCACGAAACAGGGAAAGCCTCCAGGAATGTCCCCGGAGTAGTCTGTCCTCTCTGTTCTGTAACTCTCTGTTCCTCCCTCTCCCCCTCCGACTCCCCGGCCCTTCATCTTCCCCACCCTCCTCTCTATCCACCTACTCACCCACCCGCCCACCCCCGCACCTGCCCCTCCGCTCCTCCGTCCGCCCACCTGCCCCTCTCTCCCACTGTCTTGTGTTCACTTAGCGCCCTCACCGGCCGGTTCCCCGATTTCCCGGAGGAGTCTTTAGGTGGATCCCACCTGATCTTCTCAGACAAGACTCCAGAGGAGGTACCCCGGAGCCGGGGGCGGGGGGCCCTTCGTGGCTGGTGCACCTGAGGTGACAGAGGGTGCCGAGTGTCAGCCAAGGGTGGTTGGTGCTGGGGCGGGGAGCCAGGTCCACCTCAGCGGCAGAGGGGAACTGCCAAGGAGACACACGCCGTTCGGAAGGCCCGGTGGGGGTGGGGGGCACCTGCTGCCGGGGCAGACCTCCTGGGCCGGGGAGAGGACGTGTCTGCGGAGACCACCGTTCTCCACAACCCCATGGGCTGGAGAGAGAGCGCCCGCTCTGGTCAGAACTCTGGGTCGCCTGGTGCCCCTTTTCCAGTGCCTCAGGGACGTCTCTGGGCTCTCAGCCATCTGGACCCCACAAGTTCCCGTAGGCCTCGGGGGTCCCGAGTCCACCCCAGCCCCGGGCCCTGGGTTCTCTGGCTCCTGGAACATGCCCTTGGCCTTCTCTAAAACGTCTTTCATCCTGGGTCCCAGGTGAAAATGGAACTGGAGATGCAGGCCCAGGAGAGCAGAAAAAAGGACCAAGACAAAAAAAAGGAGAAGGAGAAGAAAGAAAAGACCGGGAAAGGGGTGAGGCTGCTGCCGGACACGTGGGCCCGGTGGGCAGGGTGCCCACAGCCTGAGGGGACACCTGGTGGGAAGGCTGGGCTGGGTGGGACCTGGGGCCAGAGTCCGTGAAGGGCGAAGGCGAGGGGGCCAAGGTCAAAGGGCGTTTCCGTTCTAGGAAGCAGACGCGATGCTGAAGGTGCTGCCGTCCAGATCCATCCCCCTGATCAGTGCTGGGCATGAGGAGTATAAGAGTAAGGGGGCCGGACCTCGGGGCCTCGGAGTGACCCTCGGTCCTGGGGAAAGTGGACATGGGCCACGTGGGTGCTGAGGTGGCCCCGTGTGTGTGTAGGCCAAGGGGAGAACGCCAAAGGGGGCATGGGCGGGCGGGGGCGGGGGCAGGGGGGCAGTACCGGTTTGGGTCTGAATCCTGCAATCACGGGCCTTAGGATCAGGCCTCTGTCTGGTCTGGGGAGAAGCAGTGCCCAGTAATGGGGGGAGGCCAAGGTCAGGTTCCTGGCCCGTGTGTGCACGTGTGTGAGAGACAGACAGAGTCCCAAACAGAGAGAGCGAGAGAGAGACAGCAGACAGAGGGCGACCAGCCTTGCTCCGCGTGGGCGTGCGAGTGCACCTGGGACCCTGACCCGCCCCCCGCCCACCCCCCCGCGCCCAGATGTGTGGAAGAACCGGCCTGACAACAAGTACCCCAGTCTGAGTTTTGACCCCGAGGCCCTCCGGATGGAGAAGAGGAAGGAGATGGAGCTGGAGATCCGGGTGCAGGTGGGCGCGCCGGCGTGGGGGGGCCTCCCCGCCGGCTCCCTCTCCCCGCTCGGCCTCTGTTCACTCTCGCCGCACGCCCAGAGCCTGCCCATCCGTGTGGCATCTTCCAGACACTCCCTTCCCCGTGTAGCCCGTCTCGGCCCATCTTGGTCCCCATCGTCCTGTGCCTCCCCGGGTCCCTCTTTCTCCCCCTGAGCCTAGAGGTAAGGAAATGGGATGGGGGCGGGGCCTCTGAGCCGGGGTCCCACCCACCATCATCCTCACCGACACTTAAAAAGCTCCTTTGATGTGCCCTTGGGATATCCGGTCCCACAGTCTTCCCAACGACCTCTGAGGTGAGCACCGTGATTTTCCCAATGGTACGTGTGGAAAAGTGAGGCTGAGAGGTCACTGGACCCTTCAAGGTCACGCAGCCACTCCAGGGCAGGTCTGGGGTGTCGGCTGAAAGCCGATGCACTCCACCCCGGGGGGCTTCTCCCTATGTGGATGCCAGCTGAGAGCAGGGCTCTTGCAGGAGCAGAAGAGTAGGGATCGGGGTTAGGATTGAGTGTGGACAGGTGCAGGGACCAGGGACCAATGCCAAGGCCAGCAGTTTCCGAAAGAACCAACTCGGGAAGGTTGGTGGCCACCTGCTGCCCTCTCTGGGCTCACTGGCTCCGCTCTGAGACCGCTGCCCTCCTCTCCGGTCTCCCCTCCCCCCAGCAGCCCCTCCACGTGCTCCGCTGTCTCTGCAGGTGGATGAGCTGATGCGTCAGGAGCTGAAGACCCTGCGCCTGGCTGTGGACCGGGAGGAGGACAGACCCTTCAAGGCTCCGAAGGCAAGATGAGGGGCCCAACTGGGGTGCGAGAGGGCACACGGTGGGGGGTGGGGGAGGCGAGGGCTGCGGGACGATTTCCTATGTGCTTGTTTCTGACCAGAAGAAAGATGGGAAGAAAGCTGGGAGGAAGAAGGAAAAAGATCTGACCCCGGACAGGTAGCAGCCCCTCCCGTGGGTGGTGGAGCAGGCCCTGGCCCAGGGCAGGCCAGGAGATCTGGCAGCTGGTCCTGGTTCTGTTGCTGTGTGGCCTGGGGAAAGTTACTTAACCTCTCTGACTCCCCGTCCCGATTGACCAAGCCCCTCCCCTGCCAAGCTCACAAGAGAGCTGTGCCCACCAGGCAGAAGCCTAAGAAAGTGCTTTGAAATGATGATGCAGAATAAGATATAAGTGGTGTGTCATTCTAAACACTCCCTCCAACCTCTGCCGCAAGCAGCCTTGTCCCTTCCAAAGCCATCTCCCCCTGGACGCCCCACTGTGGGGCCTCGAGGAACCTGTCGGTGGCCCCTTTCCACTCACTCCTCTGGAGAAGCCAGCTGTGAGCACAGCACGGTGACACTAGCAGCTTGAACGGCCACCCCTCCCAGGCGTGCACACCTTAAATGTGGTTTCTAGGAAGAGGGTGATGACTCACCCAGATGGCTGACGGGGTGGCGGGTGGGTGGCGGCATTCCGGGCCAGGAGCAGACGGACGGGGGAGCACCATGGAGGCTGCCGGTCCCCCCCCCCATACACCTCCTCCGGCACCCACGACGTGCACGCTGTGGGTGGGCAGACGGTCTTCCGGGCCCGTGGGCTGGGGCCACAGTTTCTGACGCTGGCTGTGTAGTGACGTGGCTTGATGTTGATCACAGGATGTGGGGCAGGAGGGGGCGGCCCTGAGCCCCTTTCCTCGTGCCTGTGACAACACCCCCTCCCCTCTCTCTCTCCCCCCGTGTCCCTTTCTCCCCGGGGCCCCGCGCTGTGCCACCCTCGGCCAGGTCCATGTCCTCTCTGTTTGAGGAGCTCGTCGTCTATGGCTTCCTGAAGAAGAGCGAGACCGTGGCGCTGAAGGACTTCGTGGGTGAGCCCCCTCCCCAGCCCCTGCTCCCAGGCTGCGGAACGGTGCCCAGGGCCCCTGACCTTCACCTTCCTGAAGGTGGCCGACGACCGCCCTCTGAAGTGCACCTTCCCCCCCAGGGGGTTCTGTCCCTTGGCCCTGCCCCAGGGGGTGCCGCTCACCAGGTGGCCACCTGCCCTCCAGGTGACTACCTCTATCTTGGATCCACTCTGAGTCTGGCCAGCAAGCTTCCCATGCCTTCCCTGTTTGACATCCGACAGAATGTGGCCTTGTACGGGGTCCTCCGGCTCGGTGAGAGGCCCCGGGGCCGGCGGTAGCGTGGCTGAGGAGGGCCTGTCTGGGCTGCACCTCCAGTGCCCCGTGCCAGGCACCTCTGTCGGACTCCTCCCGCTGACCCCCCCCGACCCCTGCTGGAGGTCACGCCCAGCCGCAGCCGCCCCCGAAGTCATGGGGGCTCTTGCTCCGCTGAGAAGCCCACACTTCCTGCCCCTTCCTCGATCCCAGGTGACGCCCCATAGACTGTCCCATTCCCGGGAGACTGGAGACTTTCTGGGGCAGTTGGCCCCACGCCCTCTCGTCACTCCCCTTCTTAACGGAAGGGTGGGCGCTGTGGGCACGGGAAACAGAAAGGACCCTGGAAGGGGCAGGGGGCTCCGTTCTGCCACCCGGGTGCAGGCATCGTGGCTGCAAGTCCTCTAGGCATCGCTCTCGACCTGCTGACCTGGGGGCTGCCTGCTCAGGCCGCGGGGAGGGGTGGGGGTGTTGGCAGGGCAGCCAGCACCGGAGCCTCACCCCGCCCAGCCCTCACCTTTGGCCTCGCCTGACTCGGTGGGCCGGCCCTGGGCCCGCCGACGGCCCACCGCCTGCCCCCGGCCCCCGTTTGCTCTCCCAGGCTCCGCAGACATACACACCATGGCTCCCCTCATCCGCTCCCTCCTCCTGGTGGGCCCCTCCGGCATGGGGAAGAAGATGCTGGTCAACGCCGTGTGCACGGAGACCGGCGCCAACCTGTTCGACCTGTCCCCGGCCAACCTGAAGGACAAGTACCCCGGCAAGACCGGGGTGCAGATGATCGTGCACATCGTCTTTAAGGTTCGGCGCGTCTGGCTCTCAGACTGTGACAACAGAGTCGGGGGGGGGGGCTCGATGCTCAGGAGGTCACCCCGCTGCCCAGCCAGCGTGGCTCCAGGAGCTGGGGAGGCCCTCACCCGGCCCTGCTAGGAGCTTGTGGACACCTGAAGCCCCGGCAAGGGGGGAGGAGCAGGGGGATGGAGGGAGAGGTGAGGCTTACGATGCAGCTAGCCCCGCAAAGGGCTGGCGGGGCTGGGAGGGGTTGGCAGGGTGTGGGGAGTGAAGGCCGGAGCGCCCAGCTCTCCCTTGCCCCAGTCCGGCCCTGGCCCTGGGTCAGACCCTCGCCACAGGATCTCCGACGCCGAGTCTCCCTTCTCTGTCCGGGTCAGGTGGCCCGGCTCCTCCAGCCCTCGGTCATCTGGATCGGGAATGCCGAGAAGAACTTCTATAAGAAGGTCCCAAAGGAAGAGGAGGAGGTGAGTGACTGCAGGCAGGCAGCCCGAGCCCCTGGCAGGCCACTCCAATCGTCACCCGCTGTGTGGCCTCGGATCAGTCCCCTGTGTTACCTCCGTGTCCTTAAAGCAGGGCCGACAGCCGCTCCCAGGGTCCATGTGGGCGTGGACGGGTGCCCCGGGCACCTGGAAGCCTGTACGGTGAGTCACCCTGTCCCCACCACCCTGCCCCCGTCTCCCCAGAGCAGATGGACCCAAAGCGAATAAGGAAGGACCTCACCAAGGCCCTGCAGCTGCTGGGCCCCGGAGACCGCGTCATGCTGATAGGGACCACCGACCAGCCGCAGCTCGCCGAGATGAGGGGGCTGTGCCGGACCTACGAGCGGATTCTCTTCATGCCCCGGCCCGACTATGCTTCTCGCTATGGTGAGGCCCCGGGAATACGGGGGTGGGGGCGGGCCAGAGGAGGGGTCCGGGGACCACCCCTGCCAAAGCCTCCCCACCCTTCTCCCCACCCCCCACTGCTGCTCTGGGCAGCACTTCCGCAGCCAGGCGCTCTGGGAGGGCTTGCTGCTGCACGGGCAGCTCAGGGAGGGTCCCGGCCTGGCTCTGTGGACGTGGGCAGGCCCCTTGAGTCCCCAGTGCCTTGTTTCCTGGTGCTGAGTCGGGGGAGGGGGTGACCCCCGCCTTCCCGGGCAGAGAGGCTCGCTCTCCAGAAGCACACAGCTCGTTCGTTCCAGATGCAGGCGGAGGTGCCCACCGCCGCCCCCTGCCCCGTGTCCTCCCCCGCTGCCCGCAGTGCTCTGGAAGCACATGGTGGAAGCCCAGGGAGCCAAGGTGACCCAGAGCCTGGACCTCAGTGCCCTGGCCATGGTGTCCGACGGCTACACGCCCGGCCACATCCTCCAGGCCATCCGCTGGGTGCTCACCGAGCGGCGGGTTATGCAATTGTCCAAGCGGCCGCTGGTGGCCTCCGAGTTCATGGCTCACCTGGCCCAGCTGGAGCCAGTGCACAGGGAGGAGGAGGAGTCCCTGAAGGTGAGTCTGGGGGGGCGGGGGGCACAGAAGCCAGGGGGGAAGGTGGTGGGCCAGGCCCATCGAGGGATCCCACAGGGCATGTGGGCGGGCCACCTCCCCTGGCTTCCTGGTGGGAGCCTGAACGCGCCACCCGTGGACGAGGAGCCCTTGGCTGGTGCTGGCACCAGGTGCCGTTCACTTCCCCGCCTCTGGGTCAGCAGCCGCCCCCAGGGTGGCGGGGTGGCCGTGGGGATGGGGGAGGGCGGGGGGAGCAGGACTGGCCCCTGACAGGGGCTGACACCGTGGCCTGGGGCGTCCGGTGGGAGCCACAGAAGCTATGGCTCTGGCAGGATGCCAGGCCCGGGAGCAGAGGAGAGAAGTCTGCGTGGACACAGACCCGTGGGGATGGACGGGGTGAGAGGACAGGAGGCGGAACCCAGGGCCAGACCCCATGCACTGTTCCTCCTCCCCCTCCTCCCTCCCTCCCTCCCTCCCTCTTCCTCCGACCCAGGACTGGTACTTCAAGACCCCGCTGGGCATGAGCAGGCTGAAACTCGACAAGGAACAGGACGCCAAGGGGGCCAAGCTGGCGAAGGAGAAGAAGAAACAGAAGTGACGGCTGAGGCTGGGCGCCCGAGGAGGGGTGCGGTGGGCCGGGGCAGAGCCTCCCGGCAGGGGGACAGGGCAGAGGCATAAAGGCCCAGATGGCTGGGGACCAGCTCTCATTGTCCGTCTCTGGGCTTCTGCCCCCTGCTCCGGGCCACCCGCCCCCACCTCACACCCCACCCGCTCCAGGCCCGCTGACCCTGGGTCCCTGTCCTCTGACCCCACCCTGTAATTTTCCTGTCTGGGCTCCCCACTCTTCCTCCTCCTCCTCCTCCTCCAGGTATGGAGGCGAGGACTCGGGAAGGAAGGAGAGAGGGAGCAGGAAGGTCTGGGGAAGGAGAGAACAGGGGGAAAGCAGCCGTCTGGGGGTCTGGGAGTCCAGCCCCGTGTGGCCTGACGCCCGGGGTGGGCTGCCCGGTCCTGTCCTGCCTCTGGACCTCGGCGTCCTTGCCTGTGAAGTGAGGAGAGGACGGACCAGCCGACCTCCGAGGTCCCGTCTCCTTGAGGGTTGGGTTACTCCCACCAGGTGTCCGGGAAGCCAGGAAGGTGGCGGGCTAGGGGAGGGGAGAACGTCTGTGGGGAGACGGAGGCACCTGTGGCTGCCGGTAGACCCAGTGTCTTTGCTGAGCGGTATTTACCTCTTTCCTCTGGACGCCCCCTCCCACCTGCCCGGGCTCTGCCCTCTGCCCTCTGCCCTTGACCCAGAGCCCGGCCCCAGGGGGCCGAGTGGGGCGCTGCCCCTGCTTGCTGGCGGAAGTCTATCAGTGGGTCCCCCTCGTCGGTGGGTTGGGGGGAGAAGAGCTGGGGGGCTGGAGTCTGGGAACTCGGGGAGCCCCAGGGTTCTTCCTGAAGGAGCAATGTGAAGGGTGTGTGAATGAAGGTCAAGGAGTATTTCACAGACCGGAAAGGCAACGAGAGCCAGGCGAGGCGAGACCCCCGGGACCCCCGGGACCGCCGCCTGGGCAGTGGTGGCCCAGCGGAGCCCGGGGAGGGGGGGTGGGTCCGAGTTTTCTTTCTCCCTTTTTTCATTTGATCTCCCACATGAAAGTCGTCTCATTTCCCTGATGTGCCTGAACGGGCACAGCCTCTTCGTCCGTCTTCCTTTCCTGCTGAGACTCCTCCACCCATGGCCGAGAGAGAGGCCATGGGGATCCAGGGGTCACCCAGGGAGACGGGGGCCGGGGCTGGGGCGGGATGGGGGTCAGCACCCAGGATGGGTGGGGGGGTCGGCACCCAGGATGGGTGGGGGGTTGGCACTAGGATGGATGGGGGGTTAGCACCCAGGATGGGTGGGGGTCAGCACTAGGATGGGTGGAGGGGTCAGCACTAGGATGGGTGGGAGTGTTCTATTGTGGCCTGTGAGAGTGCTAGTCCCCCGGGTAGAGTATGTCTTCCTAAGAACCCCTGGAGGGGTAACTCACAGAGGGGGGACTTCTCTGTCATCTGTCACTGCTGTGAGCCCCTCCCTGAGGTCTGGGAGGGTGGAGGCACGGGGCTAATTGGCGACATGTGGGAGGACAGGAAAAACCCTGCGCACCCACCTGCCCTGCGCCTGGGACCAGAGCCCCGGCAGCTGGGGCCTCTCGGCGCAGCCCGTGATGGATGAGGCCGAGGCTGGGTGAAAAACGGCAGCTGCGGAGCCCCGCCCCAGCGCCGCTGCCTCTGCCCCGCAACCAGTCCTCACACCCGGGCCCATCGCTGCCCACCTGGGCTGCGTCTTCCTTTGCCTGTGAGGTTGCAGCCGATGCCACCATCTGGGGGTCCCTTCAGTCCTGCTGTGAACAGCTCCGGGCGAAGTTGAGGGTTGGAGGGTCCCATCCTTGCTGGCTGTCCAGGCTCCTCCCTAGTCTCCGCTGCCAGCCTAAGCCTCATCACCCCCCCCACCCCCCGCCGGGAACGACTGTGAGGACAGTTGGGGCTATTTATGGCTTGGCTCCCCTGCCCCTCCCCCAGCGGGCCTCGCCCGGCTCGGGCCCAGCACCCGCCTGCCCAGCGCCCTGAGTCCTGCTTCTCTGGCTCCCTCTTCTGCCGACTGGCCATGCCTGGGAGAAGGGGCTCCCCTCCCCACTGGGGGCACCATCTGGGGTGTTTCCCCGCAGCCCCCGCCTGCCCCTCCCGGGAGCCCCCTCGGGCGTCGCCGCTGCTGTGCCGCGACATGGCCCTGCAGAATGCCCTGTACACGGGAGACCTGGCCAGGCTGCTGGAGCTGTTCCCCCCGCACAGCACGGCCGACCTGCTGCTGGAGAGCCGGGCGGCGGAGCCTCGCTGGAGCAGCCACCAGAGGGGTGAGGATCGGGGTGGGGGGGGGGGCGCCGGGCTGACCACATCGGGCACAGAGGCACCACGCGCTTGAGGAGGAGAAGCAGCCTCTGGCAGTTCCCCCGTCACCCAAAAGCTTGCCTCAACCTTGGCCCAGGAGTGAAGTCATGCGGAGCCCAGAATAGCTCCTGCGGAACCGCGTGGCTGGGCCGGGCTCAGCCCGGGCTCAGCTCAGCTCAGCTCAGCTCGGCTCGGAGACACAGAGACCCCCTCCGTCCCTCCCTCCCTCCGTCTGTTTCCCTTCTTTTCGTCTCCTTGCCTTCGGCCCCCAGCTCCCCTCCCCCCACACCCCTGCCCTCATGAGCTGGTCCCCAGAGGAGTGCAGGGGGCAGGGGGAGCCGCCCGGTGACAGACATGCCCTCTGTGCCAGGCTGGTGGAGAAGCCCAGCAGTGAGTCTGCCGCGGACCCGGAGTCCGGCCCGGGACCCATCGTCACCCGCACGGCCTCGGGACCTGCCCTGGCCTTCTGGCAGGCGCTGCTGGCCGGGGACGTGGGCTCTGTGTCCCACATCCTCGCCGACCCCAGCACTGGCCTGACCCCAGACTCCGTCTTTGACACGAGCGACCCGGAGCGATGGAGGGACTTCCGCTTCAACATCCGCGCTCTGAGTACGGGGGGCCGGGGGCTCTGGGGGGTCTGTCTGCATGGGAGGAGAGGGGAGGCTGGGAACGGAGCTCTGGGCTCCCTCTTCCCGGCCTCCGCCCCCTCCCCCGTTGCCTGGCGGCTCTTCGCTTCCCTCCGGGACCTGAGGCCCGCGTCTCCTCTCCCCCCAGGACTCTGGTCTCTGACGTACGAAGAGGAGCTGACCACCCCGCTGCACGTGGCAGCCAGCCGGGGCCACACGGAAGTCTTGCGGCTGCTGCTGAGGCGGCGGGCGAGGCCTGACCGTGCCCCCGGGGGCCGTACCGCCCTGCACGAGGCCTGTGCCGCGGGCCACCCTGCCTGTGTCCACGTGCTGCTGGTGGCAGGGGCCGACCCCAACATCGCGGACCAGGATGGGAAGCTCCCTTTGCACCTCTGCCGGGGGGCTGGCACCCTCGAGTGAGTGACTCTGCATCCCAATCCCCACCGCAGTCTCGGGGGAACCAAAGCGATGACCTCAGGGGAAATGGGGGAGCAAGCTTGCTAGGGACTGGCAGGCTGGGTGGGCTGGATGGAGGAGTCAGGGCTCCGCTGGGGAGTCAGCAGGCAATGGCTCCCCGAACCATCCGACCAGTGGTCCTGGGAAGTTTGGAAGGGCCTGCACTTGGGACAGTTCCTGCTTCGCCCGAGGTGGTGGAGGGCTGTGGCAGCGGCCGGCCGCCTGGCCTGCTCTGGGCAGTTTGTCTGGGTTCATTCTGGGGCTCCATTCTGGACTGTAGAGTTCTCATGTGTCCCAAGTTTATCCTGGGGTCCAGGGCTATGGTAAGTACAGCAACGGAGGCACGGTCCTGCCCTGCGGGACCGGCTGCCCAGGGATCCAGGTGGGCTGTAAGGACAGCGACTCCCACTGAGAGCCTGCTCTGGTCCCTGTGGGCAGGGGCTGGTTCTCAGCTCGGCAGGTCTGGCATTTCCAGACTGTCAGGCACCTCCTTCAGGGGCTCAGGGACCGAGTTCCACTAACCACACTCACAAGAAACTAATGGATATACCCAAACAGGACGATGTATTATTCACTGTAGGGAATATTCCAAATCATTACCCTCTGTGTGTAGGGAACTTGGGAGGATGAGTCCCCACAATTCTTTGATCAGCATGGAACCCCACAAAGGAAGCCTTGGCAAATCTGTGACTCGCCGCACCCACAGTGGGGGCCCTCTCTCCAGACACACAGCCGCCCGAGTTCACCTCTGGCCCCTGAATGGCCTTCAGGGAAAGCCCACTGACTCATCACACTGAGGTGCGTTCTGCACCAGCATGGCCAGGAGAAATACAATGAGAACCACGTGGTCATTTAACATTTTTTGGTAGCCTTGCTCCACAACGAAAAGAGACAGGTGGAGTTAATTTTTTAAACAGTAGTAACATACGCATCACGTCCAATTTACCACCTTAACCATCTCTGAGTATACAAGTATATTCACATTTTTGTGCAAGCATCACCACCATCCATCCAACTCCTGAACTTTATCTTTGTTTATGCTTTATTGATTTTCAGATAGAGAGAGGAAGGGGGAAGAGAGAGAGAGAAAGAGAGGGAAACATTGATTTGTCGTTCCCCTGATTTATGCATTAACGGGTTGCTTCTTACATGCGCCCTGACTGGAGACCAAACCCGCAAACTTGGTGTATCCAGACGATGCTCTAGCCAACTGCGCTGACCAGCTGGGGCCGAGTCCTGAACTTTTTAAATTTTGCTAAACTGAAATTCCACACCCAGCGAGCAGTAACTCCCATTCACCCTCCCCTCAGGCCCTGGCACCACCTTTCTACTTTCTGTCTCTGTGCCTTCGGCCCCTCGGACTCCCTCATCTGAGCGGAATCATGTAGTGTTTGTCCTCTTGTGACTGGCTCACATCACTGAGCAGAATGTCCTCAGTCCTCAGGGTTCATCCATGCTGTAGCATGTCTGTAGCATGTGTCAGAATCTCCTTCCTTTTAAAAAAAATATTTATGTTTAGAGGGGAGGGGAGGGAGAAAGAAAGGGAGAAAAACATTGATGTGTGGTCTCTCACACACGCCTGCAACCCAGGCATATACCCTGACTAGGAATCGAACCAGCAACTCCTTACTCTGCAGGCTGGTGCTCAATCCACTGAGCTACACCGGCCAAGGCAGGAGCACCTTCCTTTTTAAAGGCGGAATGAGATTCCATTGTGTGCCGGTGCCACACATCAGTTATCCATCGACCTGTTGATGGACGCGTCGTTTGCGTCCGTGTTTCGGCTGTTCTGGGTGCTGCTGCTAGGAACGTGGGCATGCAGATAGCTGAGACAGGTGAAATGGATTTGAATCATGTGTTTTATTGAACACAAGATATCCACAATGCTATCGTTTCAATATATAGTCAACACCCCACAACTAATGAGACAGCTTACACACTTGTTTTGCATCGCCGTCAGATTGCTGTGACTTCGCCCATACGCTGCGTCTCCGTCCGGACGAACCATAGGCGAGGGCTCAGTAGCCACAGGAGGCAGGTGGCTACCGTACTGGACCACGCAGTTCTACACGCCCCACAGCTTCAGTCCTGGCCAGGTCCCAGCCCAGCCTCCCTGAGGCCACACCCAGGGATAATCCTTCCTTCCTCCCCTCCTTGAGTAAGCAAATGTATATCTAAAAATCTGAAGTCATTAGGGAGAATCTCAAACACGTGGAAACGAACGATCCATCACTCCCCATACCACCCGTTCTCCCCCGCCCCGCACCAAACGCTGCTGCTAAGAGCTCTTAGGATAACAGCTTTCCAGGCAGCAGCATCATTGAGGTCTGGATTTCAGCAGTTATTTCCATGCCGCAGAGGAGGGAGGGGGAGCTTCTATTTGCAAAGAGGCGAAGGCCCTTAGCCTTGAATTTTGGTGCACGTGACCTTCCGTGGGGGCCTTCGAGGGGCACACTCTGGCTGGTCAGTGTTGGTTCTGTTGTTCTTCGTGCCCACTGCCAGCGCCCCCTTTGTTTCCTCCGCCTGTCCCTCCAACGATGGCCAGCTTCCCTGGACCCAAAGGCCAGCTCCTCCCCTTACGAGCCGTGCGAACGTGAGCGAGACCCTCGCACCCCCAGGGCCCGTGGTTCCCCCTCTGAGCCTGCGGTGGGAATGCCGTGGGCGTGAGACAAGTGAGTACAGGTGAGGCCCTCGGGAGGTGCCCATTTTAAGCATGTGATGGCGCCTCGTGACTTCTCCTGCCGTCGAGGGCTGAGTGCTATTCCTTCAGGGAGGGTGTGGACTCGAAAAGGGGGCATCACTGGCCCTGCAGAGTGTTGCCAGGCGACTAGGGACCAGAAGGAAGGCGAGGGCACGCAGAACCAGGAGCCGCCCAAGGTTCCCCCGTGTTTGCTTCGCTCAGACTGGCGGGGAATGCGGGGGCGAAGGTCTGCACCCCATTTTTCTCCCCGCTGTTCTCTTGTCCTCACTAGGTGTGCAGAGCTGCTCCTGAGGTTTGGGGCGAAAGTGGATGGTCGATCCGAGGAGGAAGAGGAGACCCCTTTGCATGTAGCTGCCCGGCTTGGCCACGCAGAGCTGGCCGACCTGCTTCTGAGACGGGGGGCGTGCCCAGACGCCCGCGACGCCGAAGGCTGGACCCCGCTGTTGGTTGCCTGTGATACCTGCTGCCTGTCCCCCACCGACGCGGAAGCCGCCACTGCCCGCTGCCTCCGGCTGTGCCACTTGCTCCTCTCGGCCGGCGCCGACGCCGACGCCGCGGACCGGGACAAGCGGCGGCCCCTGCACCTGGCCTGTCGCCACGGCCACGCGGCCGTCGTGGACCTGCTTCTGTCCTACAGCGTCAGCGTCAACGCCATGGACTACGGGGGGCACACAGCCCTGCACTGCGCTCTGCAGGGCCCCCCCTCGGCCCTGGCCCAGAGCCCAGAGCGCGTCGTGAGGGCTCTGCTCAACCACGGCGCCGTTCGAGTCTGGCCCGGGGCTCTCCCCAAGGTACGGGGCTGGGGGCAGAGGGCGGGCCGTGAAGGCGAGGGGACAGGAGGTCCCGCCCTGTGCTCCCACATGCTCTGGATGCACCCGGAACCCTTGGGCGTTTGATGGGTCAGTTCAGTCTGTCTTTCATTCCACAAGTCAGCAAAGCCCAGCAGGGGGTGAAGGTGAGGATACAGACCGGAGGAGGGGTGTGCATGCATGTACACATGTGCATATGTGTGAACATGTGTGCACACGTGTGGCTACATGTGCGTGCACCCCATGCATGCATGTGTACACACACTGTGTGCGTATGTGGTGAAGGTGGACTGAGGGAGTGGGGCCAGATTACAAAGGATTGGAAGAGTCTTGGAGAGGGAGCCAGGACTGACGTGGGCAGGACTGAGCTGGTAGAAGAAGCACTTAGGAAGCTCTGCCTGCTTGTGAGGCACTCGAAGGACAGGAGAGGCTCCCCAAGGCAGACTGATGAGCCTGGGTCACGAGGCTGCAGGCCTCCTGACCCCCTGCAGACAACCTTGGTCCGGGTTTCTGAGCACTTAGCAGGTCGGGCGCACCCAGCCCGGCTGCGGCTGTCCTGGCACCTGAGAAAAAGCCTTGCGCTGTCAATTTCCCATCTGTGTCTTATTTCATGTTAATTTCTCCGAAGTGGGTTCAACAGGAAGACCTGTGTTACTGATGCCCCGCAGGGGGCCTGTCCTGTGCTGTGGCGTGTCTGAGGGGGGGGGGCTCTGTGATATCATGAAGGGCACTGGGTGGGGAACCTTGTCCCCCAGGAGAACTGGGTCAGGACTAATAGGGCTGTGGGCAGGTCCCCCTGCTTGTCACCCCGCCCCATCCTGGATGCTCCCCTGTGGTCCCCTCCTCTCCCCTCCACTCACGATCCTAGAAGCATCTGTCTGGATTCCTAAGCAAGACCAAATAATTAAACAGCCTGAGAGTTTGGCAGATTGGTCTCCCCTTTGGGAGAATACAAGAAAATCAACAATTAACACTAATTAATCTCCTATTAACACCAGATAATTAGGAGACAGGCAATTCCCTGTAATCTGACGGTGGCTCTGACAGCTAATGATTTCCCATAGTTGGGGACAGGGTGGGGGGAGGAGGCTGGCAGAATGGCAAGGGGATTTCCCAGGACTGCGCCCAGACCAGGGGGCCGGCCCAGCAAAGGGCCCCATTGGTCCCTTCAGCCCTGCGCCAGGATCAGAAAGCACAGGATCCGCTGCCGATCGGGCAGCTGTTCCAGGTTCGGCCAGGGTGCCCGTTTTCTGGGGAGGAGCTCCTCCCCGCAAGGAGGCCGCCACGGCCCATCTGGAACCACTGCCAGCTGCAGGGAGCTCTCTGGGCCACTGTGCACAACTGGACACTCAGAAGGCCCAGCTGTGATGCCTGTTCACATGACTATAGGCAAATCACTGGAATTTTGGGAACTCCAGTTCCCGGTGACCTAACAGGGATGAAAAGCCACTGGGGCGAGGTGGGGGACGGTAGAAACCAGCACATGCCAGACACTGTTTGAAGGTGCGTGACCCGTCACATGGGTTCCCTCAGGCCTCCCAACAACCTCTGAGGTTGGTCGTGACTCAGAAGGAGGCCTCCAGAGCCAGGCACACTACCTCGGCGAGTTGCTTCATCTCTCCGGGCCCTAGTGTCCTCATCCTTAAAACAGGGTCAGAACAGTGTGCCTGCTGCTTCTGTTAGTGTGCAAACGAAATGAGTTCACACGTATGAGGCCCGTTGGATGGGGCCTGCCCTGGAGTGAGGGTTCAACGCCTGTTAGCCAGCGCTGCTCTGAAGCTCAGTAGCACTCGGAAAGCTGTTAGGTGTTATCCCAGTGCGGGGTATCATTAGACTGGGGAGAGAGAGATGCAGGGAGGAATGCAGGAGGGCTTCCTGGAGGGGGTGGGACCAGGGGCAGGCCGGGCTTGAAGAGCTGGAGGTACAGGCATTTGAGGCAGAGTACAGAGACACATCAGCACAGGCCAGGAAGGACAGAGAGACCGGCGCCGAGGGCAGACAGGAGAAGCAGGTGGAGCAGGAAAGTCAGGCGTAACCAGCCTGCATTGTCCTCGCTCTAAGGAGTGGGGCAGAGGCCTGCCCTGGGCAGACGGGCTGGGGCAGCTCCGGTGGGCACTGCCCAGGTGCGGGGCCAGAAAAGAGGGCCTCGGGTATGTGGGTGCGTTCTCCTGGGGCCCCATTTCTGGGAAAAGGCCTTCCATCTGTCCCCACTAGCCAGCTGTGCCCAGGCTATGCAGCACTCCCAGATGGCCAGGCAGAAGGGTCTCCTCTCCTTGTACAGGGCGTTCAAGCCCCTAATGTCCTAGGCCAGTGCGTGGGTAGGGAGAGGATTAGGTACAGGGATGCTGCCAGGGAGGTGGCATTTAGATGTCCTCTGATTTTGCAAAGAATCTGTGGCCCCTGCCTGTAGCTTGACGTACAGCAGGAGATGGAGAAGATGAAGCACGAATCTGCTGATGGGTGTTATGGGCAGGCTCCCGTGTCCGACCTGCAGGCGCTGGCTGCCTTTCTGACCCCCTGGACGGTCCCCCAGCAGGGGCAGCTCCCCCGGCAGGGCCCACCCCTCATTGCATCAGGCCACGTCCTCAGAAGGGCCTTTCTCGACCACCCAGCTGGGCTGTGCCCTCTGACCATGCCCAGTCTCCGAGCCTACCTGATTTTCTTTGCAGCAGTGTGTCTGTGAGCTGTGTTTTCCCTTTGAAATAGAAACTCCCAGATGACAAGGGCCCGTCTGTCCTCAGTGCTAGGTCCCCAGGGCCTGGCCCACAGTAGCCCTCAGTAAATATTTGCTGAAGGAACAAGAGAATGGCCCTGGTTGGGTGGCTCAGTTGGTAAGAGCATTGTCCCGACATGCCAAGGCTATGGGTTCGATCCCCCAGGTCATGGCACGTACAAGAATCAACCAATGAAGGCATGGATAAGTGGAACAAAAAAAAATGAAGTTCTCTTTTCCTTTCTCTCTATAAAATCAATAAATAAAAACATTTTAAAAAGGAAGTGAGAGAATGAATCTGGCTTCAGCTTTGTCCCACCCCCACTCCCACATCAGGCCTCTGCTGGCTGGTCCTTTCTCCCTCAGTGCCCTCTGGGCTCCTGAGTTCTTGCCTTATTGGCCCCAGTCCCCTGCTCTGCAAACCCCTCCCTGATCACCCAGCCCTGCTCCCCTGCCCCCACCCCCACCCTTGTAGCCCTCTCTACCCCTCACTTGGCATTGGGCAGATTCATTAGTCTTTTTTTTTAAGACTTTATTTATTTTTAGAGAGAGAGGAAGGGAGGGAGAAAGAGAGGGAGAGAAACACTGATTGGTTACCTCTCACACATGCCCCAACTGGGCACCTGGCCGGCAATCCAGGCACGTGCCCTGACCGGGAATCTAACCAGCAACCTTGTGGGACGATGCCCAACCCACTGACTCACACCAGCCAGGGCTCATTAGTCTTTGTATCCTCTCTGGAGCTTCAGCCTCAGGTCAGGGACCCCGTCCCCATCCAGAAACATCCAGCAGAGACCCCGGTAGAGGCTGGTGATGGAGCAGGATGAGGTAGTAGCTAAAGATCAAGAGCCACACCTGTGGGCTTGGTCGGGCACACCCAGCCGGGCTGCGGCTGTCCTGGCACCTGAGAAAAATCCTTGCGCTGTCAATTTCCCATCTGTGTCTTATTGCATGTTAATTTCCCTGAAGTGGGTTCAGCTGGAAGACCTGTGTTACTGATGCCCTGCAGGGCACCCTGTCCCATGCTGTCCTATCGTTGCTGGAACTATAATTCAGGCGAGTTACTTAATTTCTAAGTGCCTCAGTTTCCCTGGCCTGTAAAATGGGGATAATCGTAGTTCATACCTGGTAGGGGCAAGGATTAAGAGACCTAATACATGTGAAGTGCTAAGAAAAGTATCCGGCATAGATTGTGCACACACAAGAGTAATGTTAGCTGATGGACTGGTTTCCTGTCTCGGCCACAACAAAGGATCGCAAATGGCGTGGCTTAAAACAATAGAAAGGTATTCCCTCACAGTTCTGCAGGCTGGGAATGTGAAATCCTGCTGAAGGCGGGGTTGGTTTCTTCCCGAAGCTCTGAGGGAGGGTCTCTTCCATGCCTGTTCCCAAGCTTCTGGGGGCTGCCCACAATCTGTGGTGTTCCTTGGCTTACAGGTGCGTTACTCCAATCTCTGCCTCTGTCATCGCAAGGCGCTCTCCCTGCATACTGTCTGTGTTTCTGTTTTCTCTCTCTTTTTTTAAGGTTTTATTTATTTTTACACAGAGAGGAAGGGTGGGAGGAAGGGGGAGAAGCATGAATGTGCGGTTGCCTCTCATGCGCCCCCTTACTGGGGACCTGGCCCACAACCCAGACATGTGCCCTAGACTGGGAATCAAACCAGTGACCCTTTGGTTCATAGGCCTGTGCTCAATCCACTGAGCCACACCAGCCAGGACTGTTTTCTCTTCTTATAAAGACAGCAGTCATGTTGGATTAGGGCCCACCCTAATGACCTCATTTTAAATAGATTACCTCTGCAAACACCCTCTGTCTAAATAGGTCACATTTATAGGTCCTGGGGACTAGGACGTCAACATCTTTTGGGGGACATCCGGTGCGGACTGATTGGGCCCTGTGGTGTGGGGTAACCTGGGGAATGCTGACCATCTCCACCTCCTCCAGGTGCTGGAACGCTGGTGCATGTCCCCGCGGACCATTGAGGTCCTGATGAACACCTACAGTGTCGTGCGGCTTCCCGAGGGGGCCATGGGCCTGGTGCCTCCTGAAACTCTGCAGGTTAGACTCCAGGACCCTGACCACACAATCATGCAGCCTGCCCAAGAGACTCCCACCTCCCGAAGGGAAGTCCCGTTGGTCCCCCTATTCCACCCCACAGAAGTTATCTAGAGATCCTCTCATGCCCCAGAAGAAGAAAACTCAGAGTGAACACCCTAAATCCTCCCTGCTCCCAAGAGGCTCCTGAAGACACCCACTGGCCACCAGCCTCCCACCGGGGGAGGAGCAGGTGCCACTTGTCCAAGGCCACCTTCGCTGAGGCCCCTGTTCTGCCCCCAGAAGCACCACCGTTTCTACTCCTCCCTCTTCGCCTTGGTGAAGCAGCCCAGATCGCTGCAGCACCTGAGCCGCTGTGTGCTCAGAGCCCACCTGGAGGCCCGCCTGCCCCACGCCCTGCCCCGCCTCCCCCTGCCGGCCCGCCTGCTCCGCTACCTGCAGCTGGACTTCGAGGATGTGCTCTACTAGGTAAGTCATGGGTCCTGTGGACAGTCCCAGCAAGTTTGTTTATTTGTTTGTTTGTTCGTTTGTTTATTTGTTTGTTTCACAGTGGGGGAGGGTAGGAGGCAAGAGTAGAGTTAGACGCAGGGCCCGGAGACCCAGCCAGCCTTCCAGAGCACCGGACCTCTCCAAATGCACACCTCTCCACCCAGATGAACACCGCATTTTGAGAGAGCCTGGAAGCAGATGCCCCAGGCCCCAGGGATGCCAGCCCGCCTCCCTCAGTGCCTCAGACCCAGGACTGAACCGAACCAGCTCAAGCCGAGGTAGCCCTCTCAGCAGGAGGCCCCTCTCCACAGGGGGAGCGGATGCTGCCACTTCCACCAGGGTGAGGCAAGTGGACCATGTTTGTTGGAGAGAGAGAGCTAGGACTCGTGGCAAGTAATACTCTCCTCTTGGGGGTCTCCTGAAGTCCCCTCTGACCGACCCAAATCCTGTACGCACATTAAAGTCTCCAGACCTGTGTATTTGGTACTGTCTCCAACAGGCCTGCCTCTGAGTCAACCAACTCACAGGGCACTCAGGATGGGCAGACTGGATGTGCCGGCTGCGTCCCCTTCCCCCTCTGACAGCTGTTGAGGGATCCCAGGCAGACCCCGGCCCCATGATGTGGCAGAATGGCTGCTCAGTGAGAGTGTCAGACAAGGCCCAAAGGACAGCTGGCCAGTGGATGGCTTGCATAGGGCAGATCATCAGCAGACGAGGCTGTGAAGACAGTGGGGCAGGGCAGTAAAGGCAGCCTGGGGGCCGGGAGCTGAGCTGAAGCGTGGGAAGGCCAATGAGAAGGTGGGTGGACAGGCGATGAGCAAGCATGGAGGGGTAACCATGGTTCAGGAAAGAGTGGAAGACCCGCGTTTAGAAAAAACCAAAACCCTCCAAAAGCCCTCCTTCCTGCCTGTCCTGGAGGTCAGGGAGCATCGGATGCTCACCTGGTTCCTGGTTCTCCCTCTCTCTGCTCCTTCTAAATTTAGCTTTGTGGCGGCAGGAGCTGAGCTGAAAGTTGCACCCTTGGGTTCTAGTCCTGCTCTGCCATTCACTTGGGGGAACATAAGTCTCTTCCCCTCTCTGGGCTCGTTTCCGCATCTGTGAAACAGGCAGGAGGCAATCCCCGAGGGTCTTTGCAGTACCAGGATTTTAAGGACCTGCAGGGGTCCCCAGCAGCCGGGAGCCCAGCCACAGAAGGGAGGTGGAGTTCACTGGGGAACCGCAGAGCAGCCAATCAATTGCACTTTGATCCGTGACGACAGGAGTTGCTAGGCAGATTTCCCAGGGTCTCGGAGAGCGCAGGTGCCGATGTTCACCACTTTCCCGCCAACAGCCTACAGCTGGGAGTGTAGCGGCGAAGGGCGCGAAGGGCAAGGGCGCGAGGCGGCGGGGGGCGGGGCTTGGAGGGCGCGAAGCTCGACGGGTAGCGGAGTGAGCGGCCGAGCGGGAGCGGGCAGAGGTGAGTGGACGGCTTCCCCCCCCTACCCCCGACCCCTCGGGCCTGCGGCTGACCCGCAGGGCTGGGCTTCCAGTCGTGGGCGCGCGGCGCGGGGACGGGAGGGTGCGCGCCGGGAGCGCAGGCCCGCAGCGGTCGCGCCGGACGCAGGCCGAGGGGCGTCCAGGCGGGTCGTGGCTCCGCGGGCCCCACCTTGGGGGCGCGTCAGCGAGGGTTGGAGGGACGCGCGGGTGAGGGAGCGGTTCCCGCGGGGCGGGGGCGGGAGTGCCATCGGGTCAGGGCCCCCGCTCGCCCTGCGGCCGGAGGAGAGCCCCCGCCTCCGCGGCCTTGGCCGGCCCGGCTTCCCGCGTGGTGACGTTTAACCTGAGGCCCGCCTCCCCAGAGAGGAGCCCCCTGTGCGTGCGTGCGGGGGCAGCTGGGGAGCGACGCGGACTGATTTCGGTTGTGAAAGGTCGCTCCGGAGGCGCCGAGTGGCGGAGGTGCCGAGTGGCGGAGGTAGGGGGCGCTGCGGAGGCGGGGGAATCGGAGACCCCTGGGCGGCTGCTGCAGGGGTCCCGGCGGAGGAGGCAGGAGAGCCGTAGGTGCGACCCTTGTCGGGGACACAGTGGGACTTGCGGAAGGACAGCCCCACGCAGGATGGCCCCCAGTGTTTTTGGCTGGACAGCTGGCTCGCTGGGGGTGCTGGGTAATTGTTGGGCTGGCCAAAAAGTTCGGTTAGCTTTTTCCTGACCGCGGCTCCGGGAGCGCCTAGTGGTCTCAACCTCCTTCCCAACGGTGTGGTTTCACTGTGTTGTGGCCGCTGTCCTACCAGCGTGCCCTTTCGAAAGCTTATCAACCTCGGTGAATTTTTGTGCAGCCGCTTTCATATTGAAGATGGAAGACAATACGTGACATGTTCGATGTATTACGCTTTATAATTTCAAGAAAGGCAGAAACGCAACTGAAACGCAAAAAGAAAAATACTTGTGCAGTGTATGGAGAAGGTGCTGTGATTGACTGAATGTGTCAAAGTGGTTTGCGAAGTTTCTTGGTACTACTGACATTTCCTTTTCCTTTTTTTTTTTAATTTTATTTTAATCATTGTTCAAGTACAGTTTTCTCTCACTTAATCCCAGTCCAGCCCACCCACCCAGCCCTCCCCTCTTCCCCCCATTACCCCCCACCCCTAGTTTTTGTCCATGTGTCCTCCAAATTTGTTCCTGTAAACCCTACCCATTCCCCCCTGAAATTCCCTCTTCTCTCCCCTGTGGGCACTGTCAGCCTGGCCTCTATTTCAGTGTCTTTGCTTATATTTTGCTTGTTTCTTTGTTTTGTTGATTAGGTTCCTGTTAAAGGTGAGATCATATGGTATTTGTCTCTCACTGCCTGGCTTGTTTCGCTTAGCATAATGCTTTCCAGCTCCATCCAAGCTGTTGCAGAGGTTAGGGGCTCCTTCTTTCTTTCTGCTGCACAGAATTCCACTGTGTAAATGTACCATAGTTTCTGATCCACTCATTTACTGATGGGCATCTAGGTTGTTTCCAGCACGTGGCTATTGTAAATTGTGCTGCTATGAACATTGGGATGCATAGGTTCTTTGGAATTGGTGTTTCAGGGTTCTTAGGATAGAGTCCCAGCAGAGGAATCACAGGGTCAAAAGGCAGATCCATTTTTGGTTTTCTGAGGAAGTTCCATATTGTTTTCCACAGTGGTTGTACCAGTCTGCAGTCCCACCAGCAGTGCACTAGGGTCCCCTTTTCTCCACAACCTCTCCAACACTTGTTGTCTGTTGCTTTGTTTATGATGGCCATTCTGACTGGTGTGAAGTGGTATCTCATTGTGGTTTCAATTTGCATCTCTCTGATAGCTAGTGATATTGAACATCGTTTCATGTGTCTTTGGATTTTCTGTATGTCCTCCTTGGAGAAGTGTCTGTTCAAGTCCTTTGCCCATTTTTTAATTGAGTTGCTTGTCTTCTTAGAGTGGAGTCGTGTAAGTTCCTTATATATTTTGGAGGTTAAACCCTTGTCTGAGATATCATTTGCAAATATGTTTTCCCATACAGTTGGTTCTCTTTTAATTTTGATACTGTTTTCTTTAGCTGTGCAAAAGCTTTTTATTTTGATGAGGTCCCATTTGTTTATTGTTTCCTTTATGTCCCTTGCTCTAGGAGACATGTCAGTAAAAAAGTTGCTGCATGAAATATCTGAGATTTTCCTGCCTACGTTCTCTTCTAGGACTTTAATGGTGTCATGGGTTATATTTAAGTCTTTTATCCACCTTGAATCTATTTTTCTATAAGGTGTAAGTTGGTGCTCGAGTTTCATTTTTTTGCACGTAGCTGTCCGGTTCTCCCAACACCATTTGTTGAAGAGGCTGTTTTTATTCCATTTTATGTTGCTGCTTCCTTTGTCAAATATTAATTGACCATAGAGACTTGGGTTTATTTCTGGGCTCTCTGTTCTGTTCCATCCTTTTTTTAAAAAAGAGATTTATTTATAGAGAGAAGGGAAGGGAGAAAGAGAGGGAGAGAATCATCAACGTGTGGTTGCCTCTGGAGCGCCCCCTACTGGGGACCTGGTCTGCAACTCAGGCATGTGCCCTGACTGGGAATCGAACCAGCGACCCTTTGGTCTGCAGGCCGGCACTCAGTCCACTGAGCCATACCAGCCAGTGCTGTACTACTCATGTTTCGGTCAAATAATCCTTTGCTGTGGGGCTGCTTTATGCATTGGAAGATGTTTAGCTGCACCCCTGGCCTCTTCCCACTAGAAGTCAATAGCAGGAGATAGCCGACCTACTCAAAATGTCCAAATCAATAAAGTTTTTAGGGAAAATGAGAAGTGTGTCTTTTATTTTATAGGAAAAAAAAAACCCTAAACAGACTCTTTGGTCAACCCAGTACTAAGGTGGGGAAGATGAGAAGGGGCAGCTGGCCGGGAAGTCAGAGGTTCAGTCTGGGAGCTCTCCCGTGGACACCTGTCTCAAAGAGACTGTGGTGCAAGGTGCTTTGGGTCTGTGGATCTGGAATTCAGGGACAAGAGTCTGTCTGGAGATACGAACGTGGGACTGTTGGCTTGTGGAAGATGTTGAAAGCTTTGTTCTAAGAAAATCCTGACTCTCAAGGATGCCTGACTTTCCTGGGGGAGCCCTGTCTATGCATTTTGTTGGAAATTCTATTTAATCCCATCCGCAACATTCCACTTTCTGCTTCCCGAGCCCCAGGTTTGAGGCACCAGGTGTATAGCTGGGAATGAGACCCGCCCCTGCCCTCAGTGAATTTTCCATCTAGTCTGAGAAACAAGTGTGTGAACAATGAGTTCCAGTACGAGGGGCAATGAAGTGAATGCCAAAGACGTGTGGGAGCAGGAGCTGCGGGCACGAGGAGGAAGGCCAGCGATGAGGGCAGGCACCTGGGAACACTCGCAGGAGACTGAGTGCCTTTCCCAAAGAGGTGCGGGATCAGGACTTCCGACCGCATCCGGAGAGCATTTCAGGAGGGGGGAGAGGGTGAGGGAAGAAAGGCAGTGTGGAGTAGTCAGTAGGAGGGGCTCTTGCCCGACCTCACATGCCCTCCCCTTGGCCAGCCGGTGTTAGGAAAGCCCCCTCTGGGGTTAGACATCCAGACACTCTTGCAAGCCAGGGAGCTTCCTCCCCAGCCTCCTGGCTGCCGGTCCCGCGGGCCCAGAACCTCTCCCCAGTAATTGCTTTCCGTAATGTGTTTGCTCCAAACCAATTTCACGCCTCCATGAGGACTCCGCCCTGCACTGGAGGCGCGGACCTCCCCACCACCAGCCTGCCCGCGTGTGACACGTGCTCACACACAGACGGCACACATTGAACACAACAGATACATAGGGTTCAAGTTCCTGGACACAACAAACATGCATGAATCTACACACGTGCATGATAGACTTTAAGGCGCTCGTGTGCCGCCCCGGCGCCGGATCGGTGTACTCACAGTTAGGTGCCCAGCAGCGCTGGTCCTTGGATCGCTCACCGGTCCCGTTCCTTTGCCCTCGGCGCGTCTCCCGGACTACCGCGAGGGGGCGCTGTAGTACTCCATACCTCTCTCGAGGTGACGCAGTTGCACGCTGCTACCGCCAGAGGGTGCCCGCGGACAGGGCCCGATGGCGGCCCACGGTCAGGGGACTCTGTCCCGCCAGTGAGTGCGGTGGCAGCCTAGATCTGTCGGCTTTGACTTGAGAATACTTCGTTCATTCTCAGTACCCTAGGTGCTGGTTTCTAATTCATGAAGGGGAGGCCAGACGATGGGGTCTGACAGAGGCGCAAGGAGAGAGAGTAGATTCAAAATAAATTCCTCTGTAGGAGAATAGTGAGAGTGGGACAAGTCAGAGCACAGGGGCAGTTAGAAAAGCACTTTTCGGATTCCGTTTTAGACGTGAGGGGAGGCGCTTGCCCACAAGGTGACCGTTCAGGAGGAGAACCACAGTTTTCTCTTGGTAAAGAAATGAGCCCCCTTTGATCAGATCTGATAGTGACAGCTTCTGTCCTTGGTGCTGATGCGAGAGTGAGAAGTCGTTTGGGAGAGCCACCAGTTTGGGGACTTCCATTCTTGGCCAGTCGGCTCTTCTTTGTCCATTCAGTGCAAGAAGAAGTCGTTTTGGAAGCTATTTCCTTGCATTCACTGTATCCTGGCACTAGTGTTTTTGACTGATCAGAATAGGTAGCCATCTCTCTATCTGGAAAAGTTAAGTCGAAGAGGGGCCAAGGTCAAATGACCCAGTGAGGGGTCAGAACAGAAACTTAACTCCAGGTCTGTTCACTCCAGCCAGTGCTTTTTGTCATTTGCTGTGTGTCCTCGGCGCCGCAGGCCATGAAAGGGCAGGGAAAGGAAGTGGGCCGCTTTGGTTGGCGCTTCGTATGGGAGGGCTTTTATCCTAGTTTCGCTGCTGAGTGCCAAGGGCTGTGCAGAAGTCACCCTTTGGGACCCCCGCGTGGCAAGGGGTCAGGTAGAGGATATAAGTAGATTCTAAAATACAGCACCTAGCGAACATGCACCAGACCAGGGCAGCACAGAATCCCCGGGGGCTCACTTCGGAGTCGGCGGCCCGTTGGGGTTTGGCGGCAACAAGCTTTACGCGCTCACTGCGCGCTCTCGGTGCCGCCTGGAGCAGAGAACCCCACCTCACTGAGTGCTGTGCAGGGCAGTGGGGTCTGGGCTTGAGCTGGGTGACGTACATCTTCAAGGTCAGAGGGTCTGTAACCTTGAGTCCTTGACAACGCATTACCCATTCTGCCCCACCAGAGAGCGACAGGCTTATTAACGGGGTCTTTGCTGAGGGGACTGGCAGGAGGGAGATGTTTCAATATATGTGTCCTTTGAGCTCTTGGACCTTTGTGCTGTCTGACTTTATTACTTATGCAAAAAATGGATGCGATGACTTTTAAGAATGGGTGTTCCTTCATCTTTGATTCGATTGGTGTTGTTACTGCTCATACAGATTTAAGTTTAGAGCTTGTAGCCCCCAAATTCCCTCAATCACTTATTAAGTCAATAAGCCTCTATGGTGTACCCAACACTGTAACGCCACAAAGCCAAGTACTGACCTCTGTCTTACTTCTCAAGTACAATACACTTAGGAGCCTGGTCTTCCATGTTGGTACCATGAAGTGCTTGGTTAATGTAACGAAGGGTGTGACAAATATCTGGAAGGATTTACATGCAAGAATTATCCTCGGACTTGAGTGGCGAGTTGGGCTTCCCAGACCTAGGTTAAGCCGCCTCTTTTTTCTCCGTGGTAACATCTTCCTGCCAGACTCGTCTCTCGGAAGTTTCATGCGGTTTAGTGCAGAGCCCCAGGTAGATCAGGACTGAATGGCAATATACTCTTCTCCCTTTACCTCTCTGATGGTGGTCAGTCAAACATAATCAAAGAGAACTCCCTTCTCGGGTCTCACCCTCTTCTGCCCCACTCTGGTGGCGGTGTCTTTCAGGGTGCTGATTTTAACGCATCAGCCTAATATTGGCGGTGCTCCCCAGGCCAGCACAGTGCGCCTGAATTGAGCAAATGTCACTGAGATCCAGAGTCCTCTCCTGCCCTGCTCTGTCTTGGGTTGGAAACCCTGAGGTTCTTTGGCATAGTTTTTCATCCTCGCCGGGGCCAAACCACCCTCCTACAATCGCCTGGCTTTGCTGCTGTTAATCTAAACGAGCCTGTCCCCCCCGGGCCCACGGGGACAACTGTCCCCAGCGACCAGAGGACCCCACTTGAGTGGGCCCGGCCTGCTGTGTGTGCCGAAGCTCAGGCCACGCTGCTGCCGCCGACTTGCCCGTCCTTCGTGCTTCGTGCCTGCTGACCTGAGGCTCCTGTCAAGCGAACGCACCCATGACTTTTGCCTCTAGATGGACAACTCTGCCGCTGGAAATCAGGAGGGGGAGCGGGAAGGGGGCCACCGTTGCAGTGCCTGAGAACGGGGGAGGCGAGCGGAGTCATCAGCAATTAGCGGGTAATTAGCGCTGCTGACCCTCGGGGCCCATCAGCGCTCCTGGGGCCGGCCCCCGGCAATCAGCCAGGGCAGGTCGATGGTGTCGAGCCCAGGAATGAATAGGGCTCATCAGCAGCGCCGGAGCCGGGGAGCCAATCAGGGAAATTCATAGCGGAAGGGGGAGAGAGAGTGCAGGCGAGGGGTGGGGGGAGAGCCAGAGACAGACAGAAGGACAGACAGGAGACAGAGACACGGGCGAGAAATGAGGGGGGAGATAGAGTAAGACCCACTGAGAAGCAGGGCGAACCAAACGGGAGTCATCGGGGCAGAAACCGGGGCGGGGCGGGGGAGACGGGGGCGGGGGGGGGGGGGAGGAAAAGAGTGGAGAGGGAGGGGGAGGGGTGGAGGGGAAAGGTAAGAAGAGCCGTAAGTACTCGGTGTAGTGCGGGCCCTTCCGGAGGTGACCGCGAGGCCGGAGTGCGGCACCACCGAAGGGCCTGAGACCGAGGAGCGAGCGAAGATGAGCGGGAAGGAAGGGCCGACGCCCAGCGGGACCGGGGAGAGTGCGCACGGGGCTGGGGAAAAGAGCCCCAACGCGAAGCCCCGAGCCTCCATCCCCGGCTTCGGAGTGCGCCCCCTGCCGCCCCGGCCTCGACGCCCAAGGGCGCACCGAGGTCCTGTCCCACGCGCCCCTCTGGGCTTGCTTCTGGAGCTGCCCCGGGGACAGAGAGTGGGACCCTGGGGGACGGGCTCCAGTCGGCCGGAGGGCAGCAGCCCAGGGTGGGACGAGGGTGGGGTGGGGGCTTGGTCTGGGCCCGTCCCTCCCGCGCGCCCTCCGCACCGGCCGCCTCGCCCCCAGCCCACGCCCGCCCTGAGTGGGCCGGGTGGGGGCGGGCGGGGCGGAAGGAGGGGCACTAGCCCAGCAGCTGCGGCCGCCTCCTCGTCGGGCCGCAAAGTTTCACAAAGCGGCGTGTCCAGCCTCATCAATCTCCATTAATAATAGTTGGTTGGGCCAAGGGGGGCAGGCGGGGGTCCCAGGCCGGCCGGCGGGGCCGCTGGGGACGGGCTCTGCGGAGGGCGCGAGCGGCTCGGCGGAGGGCGGAGGGAGGAAGTGGAGCGTAATTTGAGGAAGATGGATGAGTCCGGAGGGCGACACCCCCAGCCCGCCCGCCCGCCCGCCCCCTCCCTCCTTAAGAGAGAGAGGGAGCGCGGCGCGGAGCCACACTGCGCCGAGCCCGCGCCCCGCCGCCACCTCGGCCGGGGAGCCGGGGAGCCAGCCCTGCGTGTCCGCGCCGGGTGCCTGAGCCGCGGGGCGCACGGCAGCACCCAGGGGGGAGCGCCCCGGGGTGGCCGCTGCTCCCAGCAGGATGCAGAGAGCTGGAGGCGGGAGCGCCCCCGGGGGCGGCGGGGGCGGCGGCGGCGGGGGCCCGGGCACTGCCTTCTCCATCGACTCTCTGATCGGGCCGCCGCCGCCGCGCTCCGGCCACTTGCTCTACACCGGCTACCCCATGTTCATGCCCTACCGGCCCCTCGTGCTGCCGCAGGCGCTGGCCCCTGCGCCGCTGCCCGCAGGCCTCCCGCCCCTCGCCCCACTGGCCTCCTTTGCCGGCCGCCTCACCAACACTTTCTGCGCGGGGCTGGGCCAGGCCGTGCCCTCGATGGTGGCGCTGACCACCACGCTGCCCAGCTTCGCCGAGCCGCCGGACGCCTTCTACGGGCCCCCGGAGCTCTCAGCCGCCGCCGCCGCTGCCGCCACGGCCACGGCCGCCCGAAACAACCCCGAGCCGGGCGGCCGACGCCCGGAGGGTGGGCTGGAAGCCGACGAGCTGCTGCCCGCCCGAGAGAAAGTGGCAGAGCCCCCGCCGCCCCCACCACCGCACTTTTCAGAGACTTTCCCGAGTCTGCCGGGTAAGTGCCGGGCGCGCAGGGAGCAGGGCGGGAGGCTCGCTACCTGGGAGTCCCAGGCGGCAGCCTGCTCCGAACCTCGAGTCTCTGCACCCGCCTGGGGCCCAGCGGTCCCGGACCCCCAGGCGGCGGTTCTGCGGAACCACCTCCAGTTCCCTGCCGCACAGGGCGCCCCTAGACCCCAGAACCGCCGCCCCGCGTTCTCCAGAGTGCTCGACCCCTCGCCAAAGACTTCCAAATCCGTGCCTTTCCTCCGGCATCCTGGTCCTCAAGCCGTGACCCTCCCGCAACTTCTTTCCAGAATCCCTTCGTTTCTCTCAGCTGCGGGGAATAGAGGAGAAGCTTCAGGTGTGGGGTTGGGTCCGGGGGCCAGCAGCGAGACCCCGGGGTGAGGGTGCGCTGGGGCGGCTGTCAGTTCCGTCAGGGGAGGGCAGGCCTGGCTTCTGGTGAGAAGGTTGTACTGGCCCCAGGGGGGCTCTGTGAATGCAGGGGCAGAGGGAGGGTCTGAAAGCAGTGGACACTGCTGTTGGTGACCTGTCTTCACTCTAGTAGTAGAGGTCACTTCTGCATGGGCAGATTTAGAGCTAAGCCACAAAGAACGGAGTAGTGGGTTCAAGGAAGCCTTAGCTGTCGGGGGTCCGTGGCACCTGCTGGACCAGGGCTGACCGGGAGGCCAAGGGAGAGGCTGGGTCGGGCTGGGTGTGGCCCACAGGCCTGGAGACTCAGCTAAGGGCTCATGCAGGAGCACCGGGCCCTGGACCCTCCGTGGGGGAGGATGCCCTCTCCGAAGAGGCAGCGTGTATCACACTGCGCCCTGTCTGGAATTGGTCCACTCAGAACACTACTGGCTTCCCTATTTGTTGCTCCTGACCCCCTAGAAGCCAGGGAAGCTCTTCCCTATCCAGGGGCAGACCCAGGCGCACTGGCCCCCAAAGCTTACACAGTGTGGTGGGCCCTGTTTGAGGAAAACCAGGGCCACCTGCAGGTGCCAGGTTCCTGGATCTTACACTTACTTAGCATCAGGATGGATCAGCCTCTGCTTAATCTCTTATCGCGTCCAGCTTAACAGGTGGAAGCGACCCCGGGGGGCATGGGGACTGACTCTAGTGGAGACCGGGAGGAGATTCAGTAGTTTTTTGGGTTTTTTTTTTTTGTCCTTTGCCAGAAGGAAATTTCTGACGACAGGTTTCTGGGCCCTTCCTTGAAATTAACCAAAGTGCTAGTCACTCCTGCAGACCCCGAGGGCTGCTATAGAGCCTGTCCCCCTCTCCCTCCCCCCTCGCTCCCAGGCATTTTGGCTGTGGGCGTTCAGCTGTTGTATTTTCTACCTGGTTGGACCAGGAGGACCCAGCGCCTGAAGTCTGAGCACTGTCTCCTAAGGAGGATCAAAAGGAGATGATAGAGCAGCAACTGGAAGGCGGGAGGGAGTGTCCATGAGATAGAAGGGCCCAGAGTGGCGGTAAGGGGGTGCAGATGGCAGGGTGACTGGAAGGAGAGACGACCAGAGGCATGTTTGGAATAGGATGGTCCTCAGGCAGGAAAGAGAGTGAGGCAGGCCACCAGAAGGATGGCTTTGGAGGCAGCAGGGGCAGAGAAAGAACCAGACACACCTGGCGAAGAGACGGACTGGGGGGTGGGGAGAGGGAGACACCCCAGTGGAGGGGGCGCTGAGGAGGGATGTGCCCACACCGTGGGGGAGCCCGGCTCGTTCAGGGTTCCCTCGGTCTGCGTTTGATCGTTTGTAAAGCGAGATCTCTTCTCAGGAGCAGACAGAACATGGGCTGTAAAAGCAGACTTTGGGAGAGAGAAAGGAACACACAGAGGAGAAGGACGGGAGAGAAATAGTGGGGGGCAAGAGTAAAGGAAAGGCCCAGCACACGGGCTGTACACCCGGGTCGTCCAGAGAGAGAGGAGGGAGGGAAACAGAGGCCGCCTGTCGGAAGCGGTGTGGACCGGGTTAGCACGGCTAAGTGGGAGGGACAGAGCGGGGCCGGAAGTGCGTGTGTGTCCAAGAGTTCTGTCTTGAGAACCCTGGATGGGAGCTACATGAATATCCAAGTAGGAAACAGGAAAAAGTTTCAACACTAGGGGTCATTTTTTTTTAAGAAAGGCTTTTCAATGCTGATAGTGATGGAAAACTAGAATTTATATAGAGAGAGAATAATGAAGGAAAGATCATCATCTGAGGAAAGTGTTGGAAGCAGAAAAAGAAACTTATTCTTGGAGGAAAGACAAGGAATTTTTTAGATGTTATTTATTTTTAGACAGAGAGGAACATCAATTGGTTGCCTCTTGCGTGGCCCTGACCAGGGACCTGGCCCGTGACCCAGGCATGTGCCCTAACTGGGAATCGAACTGGCGACCTTTCAGTTTGCAGGACAACACCCAACCCACTGAGCCACCCCAGTTAGGATGACGAGGAATTTCTTTGCTAAGAATGATGGGAAGAAGACCTTATTACAGAGGAGGAGTTTTGAGAGGTGCTGGAGTGAAGGTAATCGCTCATTTTGGGAAGAGATACAAATAAAGGCTCTATAGTGGGGCTCCTGGGGTAGAGCAGTAAGGAGAGATTTCAGAAGAAACATTCCAGGAAGATAACGAGAGAAAGGTCTTATCTGTGACTGCCACTTCTTACCGCTCCCCCAAGTCTCCTCATCATGCCGTTCGCACCCGCCTTCCCGGTCCTGGTTTCTCCTCAACAAATGCTGGACAGAGAGTCAGTGTGGGAAGTGACGGTGACACGCGGCCGTGCGGAAGTGGTGGGAAAGCAAACGCACCAGTTCGAGAACTGTGTTTGAGTATTTAGTGTGAAATAAGAGAACCCCCTGCTTAAATGATGGAATCGAGGCCGCAACATTGGAAGAGTCTGGAGAAAGAATGCTATCTCTAAAAGGACAAAGTCAGAAGTTGCTGTACTGATGCGAATGGGAGCTGTTGGTCTAAAATTATTAATTTACACGCATTTAGTGTTTTACAATTAGTAGCCCTTTAAATGAAATTATAGTGAAGGTAGGCCAATGTAAAGAATGGTGAGTGAAGTTCTTTTTCTTGGAATTATAAGGACTGCTTTTTAAAATTTCGTTCAGAGTTGAGACAGATAGCACCCTACCAGAATTGGTCAGGAAGACACTTTATTATTATTTAGTTGCATGGGTAGAAGCTATACTACTTGGCACAAAGAAATACTGTTTACAGAAATAACGGGGTAGAAAAGGTCTTGAAAATGGTAGGTTGAAAATAACTCTAGGTCCGGAGCGAGGGGACCAGTGAGTGCAGTCAGGGAAGGTGTGGCGTGCGAGGAGAGAACTGTTCATTAGTGGGGGGAGAGTTAAGAGTATGAATCGACAGGAAACCCAGAGTAGTGCTGGCTAGCAAGCCGCTTATGTCATTAAAAAGTCGTATTAGCCACATTAGAAAGTAAAAAGAAACAGGTGGATTTCATTTAATAATATATTCTATTTAATCCAGCATGTCCAAAATATCATTTCAGCATTAACCAGTATAAAAATGTTTAATGAAATATTTTATATTCTCTTTCGTATTAAGTCTTCAAACCCAGCGTGTACTTTACACTCACAGCGCACTGCAATTCAGACTGGCCGTGTTTCTGGCCGTCAGCAGCTTCATGCGGCCAGCAGTGACCGTATTCCACATAACAGATCTGGAGAGGTGCAAGAACAGCCTCCAGCACTCTCTAGACCTCTCTAGACGTGAAGGTGACGGGGGGAAAGGAGCTTTGAACTGCAGGGGGTAGTCAAGTCCTCGGTGTTATAAATAAGGGAGAGAAGAAAGCAGTAAGCCCTAAATGGCAGGGAAGGAAGAGAACTCTGCCTCGAGTGGGATGGGCAGAGAGGCCCTGTGTGTGTAGGTGCGTGTGAGGTCAGGCTCAAAGCTGACTCGAAGATGCGGTGCAAGTGCATGTCCCAGAGACGGCACGTGAGGAGGAGGAGGATGCCGCCTGCTGAAGGGATAAGGAAAAGAGGTGTCTGGAGAAGTGCAGGGGACCACTTGACGCTGGGGCGTCTGGAGCAACGGTTTACTCAGGAGGAAAAGAGTCTGGTTGCCTGAAAACAAGCACTTAAGAAGCGAGGGATGTTAGATAATCCATGTGTAATTGTCAGATGAGCGATGAAAATGCAGAGATTGACAGGAAGATAACGCCAGTCGAGTTCGGCGAGGAAAGGAAACATTTGTAGTTAAGATGACATAGAGAAGGGAATGGGGTGGGCAAACCTGAGAAAGGGCAATGTAGTGGACATTGTTTTTAAAGACTAAGCAGAAGAAGATTTGCTAATTTCTGAATAGAGATTGGCAATAATAATGAAAATCGTGCCAGAAGACCAGGGAACTTTGGAGGAGCATGATATCTGAATGCGGATTGCTGCAAGTTAAGCACCTGATTGGAGCTGGAAACCATTTACAGGACCATCGGTTAATTTCTGAATCGGTATCCATTATGACTGCCAAGATCTATTTCCTCGTGAGAGAAAAACAGGAAGTGATAATGTGATGTGGAATCAGAAACTTCCATTAGAAACAGGAGGAAGATTTTTCCTGGGAGTGAGAAAGACCCAGAGTATAGTCTCCTAAAAATTTTGAGGAACAGCATATAGTGAGAGTGATTGCCCCATTGACATTCACAGAAAAGCCAATGTTGCATTAACTTAACATGATTGAAGCAATATTTACTTGAGTCGTGACGCATGGGTTCGGGTCTCAGCGTTGGGGTTCAGGCCACTCGTTAGCTGTGCCACCGCGGCAAATCTCTTGGTTCAGTTCAGGGAACATTTACTGTGTTTCTGCTTTGGGCTTCCTGTGCTCCAGACACGCACGCTAAGAGACCCAAAGTCTTACAGCTCCTGTAGGCTTCAGTTTCCTCATCAACAGCATAAAAGTGTTAGTATTCCTTTCAATTCCATAGAATAAAAGCTGATTTTTAAAGCCTCCATGTTTAAAGTAGGGTTCTTAATATGGACTCCATGGACCTCCTATGAGAAGGATCT